CTCGGCAAAGTGTAATAACGAAGTTATTTATTATTATGCATAGGCACACAAAAAAGTGTCGTTCGAATTGCATTTTTGCATCTTGCAGCTGTGCAAATATTTAGCCTGACGCGTTTGTCGCTTAAGTCTTTCGTTTTCCCTCTCTGTCTGTCTGCCTGTCCGTCTCAGTCACTCTTGTTTGCGGTTGTATGTGGTGGCGCACTTACCTCTTTGTCATCCTGCTTGTGCTGATTATTGAAATACGTCTTGAGCGTCAGCTTGGTGCCGCAGTGTACGCATTTGAAGCAACCGGAATGGAAGAATGTGAAATCCTTGAGCGGCCCCACACGATCCACCTGATAGACGGTCTCGCTGCAGCGCAGGCAAGTCGACTCGTAGAAATTTGGCCGATACATAATGTGTCTATGTATCCCAAACGATCTGTACGCCTGTATTTTGTGGCAGCTTCCGACTGGTTTTGGGTACCCGTCTGTTGTGTTTGTCACTTTTCTTTTCGTCTTTCAATTTCACTTGGCGTGGAGCTTACAAGTATTCTGCTAGTTTTTCGAGTTTGAAGTTGGTTCTGGGGGCAACGGAGACACTTTCGGCTGGCATCATCCGCTCATCCTCGTCATCCGTCCGCTGCTGGCAGAAGCTGTCCAACAAAAATGACCAAAACGATTACTGCCTGAGTGGGAGATAGACGTTTCCTATTTGGGTTGTGATTCGATTTTTCGGCCAGAGACCAAATCAGGCCCAAAACAAAAATTTAGTTTCTGCGCAGGCGGTGGCCGAGCCAAAACTTTCATTTATTTTGGCTGTGAGCCGAGATTATTAATGAATTTAAATTAACTGGACACGGTGGACAAAAGTTGGCTGGTGTGGAGCAAAGGGTAGTCGATGAGCGTTTAAAGACATTTCTCCTTGCCATTGACCTCGTCGGAAGTTTGAGCCTGAGATTGCTCCAAACGTGCCACAATTGAACTTGAGTTGCTGCCTTTTGTTGCAACTCGATCGTGCAACGTGCAACTGCCGCCTGGCACCGGCACAAAAGTTGCATTTTCCATTTGATTAATTGACGCGATTGTTGCTGGCAGGTTTCCTTTCGGTTTTTGTTTAGTTTCAACAATTAAATTGAAGTGGAAAAAAGCAGATTGTGTATAGGCAAGTGTGTGCGAGCAAGTGCATGTTACTTTAATTGAAATCATTGTTGTTGTTGCTGCTATTGCGGCGGCTGTTGCATTGACCAAAATTAAAACAAATGCGGCTCAGTTGCTCAGACAAAGCCAAAACCCGCAGTCGAAGTGGAAGTCGAAGTCATCGTCATCGTTTTGCTTTCTTTTCAAGTTTAATGAACGTTGAGACTGGCGATGGCTAGCGGGATGGTGGGTGGTTTTGGGGGGTGGCAAGGCCTTATGATTAGCGCCAGTTGCGGCATCGAAGGTTGCTGATCTGTGGATTGCATGCCCGCCGCAACTGCAACACTAATGGAAAATGGTAAAAAAAAAAATACAAAATTGAAATGGAAAAAAGGGGAAAATGCAAATGCGGCGAAGGCCGCCAAGAGATTTTGTAACACCAAATTATTTTGATTGGCTATGAATTAAATTTTGTTCCGCTTTTGAGGTCTGCTCTTGATCGACCGAAGCGAATGTGAAGCTACAACACAAATTGATGTGTGAATCGAGAGGGGGAATCGGTCCCTAAAAGACCCACCACTCGGGCGATGAGTAACCTGTCAATAATCTCTTCCAGCACTATGGTCAACCCCCGCATCGATTCGAATATCAATCAACGATCCGAGTGTTCCATGAATGGAAACGCCTACGATGGTGACAAAAATGGCAGTTTGATCTCTTGATGCGATCACAATCGGTGTGATTGAATGGTCCAATTACGCTTTGCTTTTGACATAATTAGCGTGAAATGATAATTGTAATGGACATGGATACGGGGCCGGGAAGACCCTACCGAAGTGGGCAAATTAGCTGGGGCGGCTTGACAAAACGCCTCGTGCGACTTACATCACCCGTCATCTCATCATCCCATCGTGCCACCATGCCACCATGGTCACTTGGGTGTGACTAAGAAGCAGAGTGCAGGTAACTCGAGAAGCCGCATAGAATTTCGCACATGTGTGCCGCTATTCCGTGCCAGCTTTTGGTTTCTTTTCCAGCTGAGTGCGGACGAAATGCCATGCGAATAAATTATACAAATCTAAAATGACAAAAGGAGAAGCAGTCACACAAAAACGAAAGTTGCTCTGCACGGGCAATTGTTCCCAATCGAAACATTTAAATAAATTGATAAGCAGTCGGAAGCATTTGCATGGGGCGATTCAATTTGGCTGAACAAGTTCGTTGCCTAAGTCTTTCGTTTATATCGCTGCCGTTGGCTAACGAAACACTAACAATGACAATTAAATAAATACCAATAATAACAGTAAACTGCTGCAACCACAACAACAACAACGACAACACCACCATAATGAACTTGAATTGGCATAATTGCCACAGCTAATCACATTAAAGCCACATACAAAGATTTGATAAATGCAAAGAAACAACAGCCAAACAGAAACAACACGACAAACAACAACTGGTTATTCAGCCAGGCAGTGAAACAATCATAGGAATTAAAATAAAATGCAAATGATTGCGTCACTTTGGCTGAGTGCAGAGCGATATGAGGAAAAATACAAACTAGCAACTTAAAATCTGACACTGCGAGAAACTCAAAACGAAAAATCTTGACCTTTCCTAGGTTTACATAAGTTTTTTTCTTTTGTTTAAATAAATTATATTGGAAGCAAACCCGTTTATTCCGAATCTTAAAAATAACTGGTTAATGTCAAATTTCCCTTAATGCATTTTAAATTGATAAATAAAACTTATTTTAAAATCGAAAGTAAGTTGAATAAAAAATGTTAAATGACTGATTATATCGCAAAATTTGACTAAAATATGTAGTAAAAGAATTGGTTATTTGTTACATTAGATAAGTTTAACCGTACATCCTTTCAGCCATAAATTGTGTGGATATTAGAACAATCCTGTACCTTTTATTTGAATTTCTTTGAAATTGAACTCTAGTCAGAGAAGATTGACTGTTTTTAAAGAGTGAGAATTGCTTGCGCAAATTCAAGATCAGAAAGTACTTGGATTTCTATGTCAATTGCCGAGTTGCTAATTGAATGGAACAATGAATTGCTTTTAGAAATCGCCCATTTCGCTGGCAATAAATTAGAAGCACAAACTCCGAAAATTGTTTATGAGCCAGTCACAATAATTGGAAAACACATGTGTATGTACATATGTAGCTGGAAGGGGGTGGGGTTGCAACCAGCGCCCATGACAGGTGGTGTCTTCTAACTAACCCCCGCCCCCTTCATGCACGTCCACCCCCGCCGCTGTGTGTGTGAGTTGTGTTTTTGTGTGTGTTTATGCCGTGACGCAGTCGCAGCTTGCAATCTTTCACTTTTTTTGTGTCTGCCGCGGCATCGTTCGTTCCAGTTTTTCGTAAATTATTTCCCCAGCATCGCTATTATTTTTTATTTTCGCCTTGATTATACACACGCGAGGTATAGAGGAGCATTGTTGTTGCATTCGGAGTTCTGGGCCCTTTTTTTGACACACTTCTACTTCTTCTCTATTACTTTTACGCGTATATGCTAAACAACTTTCTTCTCAATGCAAAAGGGGCGCGCTTTGTGCAAAAGTATTTAGTATTTATCATAAATTTCACACACGCAGGCACACTCACTCGAACTCCACACACACACATCGATAGCCCCAACGAGATCCAAGCACATATACACACACAAAAGGGGAGAGCAGATCGTTCAGTTCGCAAGGTCCGTCTTTGGAATTCCGATTCTGCGCTTCGTTTTATCACATTTTCGGCATTTCTTGTGGCTCCATAAGTCAAGTCTCAAAGACAGCAGGTTTCGTATATTGGGAATGTAACAAAATTTCATTACCAAACACAGACACATGCACGGCAGCACGACACACACGGGCGCGTTCACTCACACAAGCACAAGATTCGAGCAGAACGACCGCCGTTATTCCATTCGAGTTCCAGCCAGTTCCACGATCGATTTGAGACTAGTCGCTATTCGCAGAAAGGAATCCGCTCTGAGCCAAGCTTTCTCTTGACAGCGGGAAAGCTGATGCATAGCTCTGAAAAGCTCACTGCGCATGCCTAGCAACTATCGATAGCCGATAGTTCACCATGGTGTACCAAATTCACTCATAGAACGAGATCCCCATTATAGTGTCCGACACCCACAGTATTAACTTAACCCCAGGTGGAATTATTCTTTGATTTTACGTCGTATAAAAACTAATAATTAGTTGCTGCTGTTAAATGTGTTCGCTGTAGGGGGAATACCAATTCAAAGGCCTCATAAATGTTAAATTTTCAACAATCTATTTTTTATATAACAGAAAATATTGTGTTTTTTATTAATACAAAATTTAAAAGCCATGGCTCTAATCCTTTGCAAAGAAAGATTATTTTAACAAGATTAGGAAATCTAAACCAAAAAATGTGAAAATAAATAATTCAATTAGGCTTAGAGATTCTGAACCTATTCATATTTTAAGTGTAATTCTTTATTTTTGATTAGCTTTTAAATAGTCCATTAAACTTTAAAATCGGACTCTTTCGAACTATAGTAAAACAAAAACGTACAAAAATACATATTGTCCGGGTTTTTCGCAGAAATTCCTAATTTGGAAATTTTTTCTATTATATGATTGCATTTTTTGAGCCATGAATTTTGTAATTGTATAGTTTAAAATAAGTTTGCACAACAAAAATTGTTTATCTTTAATGGTTCATTGACAAGGCAAGCCTAGAATAAACTGATCGTTAATTTAAATACATTTTTTCAGATTATAATCACTGTCCAACACTACTATTACTTCAGCAGAACAGCGATATATCGATAGTCAGTAAACTTTTGAGCTTTTGGTGTGGCTGCAGGTTGCAGCCCACTGACTGGTATTTGGCTTCTTTCTGCCTGCGGTCCTACTATTTCCAACAACTGTGATTTTAATAACAAAAGGCAAGGGAAAACGCAAAAAGTAATGGGGAATCAATTGGGACTTCACATGAATAGCGATGACGATGATGACTTTGACTCTTCTGACAACGAGCTGGGCATTAATGTGATTAACTTTACCGTAAATGCCATGGACATGGAACTGCGCTCTGATTACTTCAATCATGCGCTGCCAGTAATAAGAAGCAAACCAGACCTGGTCAAATTTCAGGTAATCATGAAATATCTTGGCCCCAGATAACGATAGAGAGTTACTGCTGCTGAGGTATTCGTTCCAGAGCACCGACATGTACAAAGAGATCAGAGCTTCCAGTGGGCTGGTAAGCCATCCGGATTATCGCTGGAATCTAGTGCGTGCCCTTCAGCAGAGAGAAAATGGGTTGGCATCGCCCCACAGCGCCTCGTTTTCCAAGAACCAGCAGCGCTACATTTCCAATCTTTACATACCAAATAAGAAGTCCTCGCGTCTCATGTCGCTGGACTCCAAAATCTTTGTGACCAAGTTCAATCGCACAGGCAGCAAACTGCTGACCGCCTGTCAAGGTCGGTATTTTTCGGGTTTAAACTTTGGGTGTCATCGAAACATGACCTATTATGGCAATTACCCATTCCAGATGGCTTTGTGCGCATTTACGATGGTGCCAAGGGAACCTATCACCTGCTCAACCGAATCCGAGCCCGCGACGTCGAGTGGAGCATCATCGATGCCGATTTCAGCCCGAATGGTCAACACTTTGCCTACAGCACCTGGTCCCGCTCATGTATATAGTTAGCCAGTGGCACAAGTGTAAACCATACTTCATAGCCCTCCTTTCAGTTTTCATCATGCCCGTGAACGGGGGCGAAGACGACTGCCAGTGGATCGATGTTAATGGGCTGCCCAACCACAGGCTGGCCATTTTCTCGCTGCGCTACTCACCCACGGGCGATAAGATCATCGGCGGCAGCAATAACGCCAATGTCCTCGTGACCGACATCCGCACGCGGACCACTCAAATCCTCCGTACGCACCGCATGCCCGGCACCGATGTAAACTCGGTGTGCTTCCTGCACGACAAGGACCCAAATGTGATAATCGCCGGCTGCGACGACGGCCTGCTCAAAGTGTACGACCTGCGCACCACTTTCCGTTCCCGTGAGCTGTCCAAATCGGTGGCCTCCTTTATCGGCCATTACGACGGCGTCACCTACATCGATTCGCGCAACGACGGCTACCACGTGCTGTCCAATTCCAAAGACCAAAGCATCAAGATCTGGGACATGAGGCAGCCCAGCAATCTGCGCAACCGCAGCCGCGCCAGACAGCAGCAGCTGGACCTCACCATGTGGGACTACCGCTGGAATCGCGTCCCGCGCGAGTGTAAGCCCAGGCAAGTTTTTGGTAAACTTTCTTATTTTATAGTTTCTGTCATTGCAGTTTACAATCCCCAAAAGGCGCTGGATGGGGATGCCAGTATAATGACCTACCGCGGTCATCGTGTTACTAAAACCCTGTTGCGGGCAAAGTTTTCGCCCCTGGAGCAGACAGGACAGCGTTACATTTACACGGGCTGTGCAACGGGACGCATTATAAGTGAGTTCATGAATTTAACTTGCGGTATTCCCTTGATTTTTTTTTTACAAGGACTTCCAAATTAATTTAGTAACTTAGCTTGAATTTATTTATCTTTCAGTAAATTCATTTTGTATTTTTAAAAACACTTACAAAAAAAATGTAGATTTATTCTGTGCTGCAGGCGGCTACTGGTTTGTTATTACAATTTTAATATAACTTTTGTAAAGTACAGAAGAAGACGTCTTTGGCCTTCTAAAGTTTGCAGCATATCAATGTGTTACTGTGACCGTTATTTTTGGATATACAACTACAAAAAATCATAAAAATGTTCACAACTTCAAAAAATTGATCTTTTAAATAGGATAAACTTCTATAAAAAAGTTAAGTAACTACAAAAAAAACATTCGTTTTTATTTCAGTCTATGATGTGCTTACTGGTAAGATTAAAGAGGCTATTGAAGGACATAGAAATGTGATAAGAGATCTGGACTGGCATCCAGAGCGCTCAGAAATTGTGTCTGGTTCGGTAAGCTGGCAAAAAACTTGTTTCTCTCGAATACCGCTTACTAACATAATTCTCCTCCGCAGTGGGATACCCATGTTCACCTGAACAACTTCAGCCGCAGCAACGCCAATCGTTCCCTCAAGCGATCTCACAGCTCCGATCAGGATATGAAGCCCTTGCGACGGTCATGCCGGCTGGCGAATCGAAATGTGACTCCAGACTAGTTTTAATGTTATCGTATTGACTAGCTTGTAAGACATCCCCACTGATATTAACTTTAACATTCATTCATAAACGCGTGCGTAGACAACGGGAACGAATATTCACCACAGTCGAACCGCACTTTGGTTCTATGAAAAAGACTGAAGAATATGTCACAGCTTGAAATGTTTAGTTCAGTTTAATTAATTATCTTGTTACACATTATAATGTAAACCATGAAGCTTACAAACTACCTACTTAAGTTGTTTATGTACAAAACAATCTTAATTAGAATCACGTTGAATTATATTTCGTTTGCTAGAACTAAATTCCTTGAAATGCGACTCTTTTCTTAACTGCCCGAATAGTCGTGCGCTTAACCTTCTCCGGATAAATAAATTTAACAGTTTTCCTAGATTCAGCAATAGACTTATTGCTCCAAAGGTCGAGTATGCGGTTTTCGTCGTTCGGAATCTCTTCCACTTCCAGTTCCACGTTTTCGCTTGTCCCGTAGCCCACAATCTCGCCCAGCGTCGAGTTGCAAAACGCACTCATGTCGAGCATGTGGAATTTTTCTGCACAAAATTGAGAGATTTTAACAGTATTGAATGATTTTAATTTTTCTTTGATATCGTCCAGTGATAAGAAATCTGTGGGCAGATCTTCATCGGCTGACTCATCGCTTTTATCGCCGGAGATTTTACTGGCAGCACTTACGTCCGTTTGGTTCCTTCCAGTCCCTTTAAGATTTTTTACAACCGATTCTACGACGTCAGTTGGTGCAGGAATCTCCAGCTCAGCTGCGGGTTCCGCGTTAGTTTTGGATTTCTTTTTCTTTGAGGTTTTTTCAGTAGCTTCAGTTACGGACGGTGGTATTTCCTCTAGATCTTTCTCAATGGTGTCCACCTTTTTCTTCTCCTTTTTGGACTTTTTCTTTTTTGTTGAGTTTTCTTCTATTATCGCAGCAGTGTTTTCCACTTGAGAATGATTGGATTCTTTAATTTTATTTTTCTTTTTACTCGGATTTTCATCAAAGGCATTCGAGTCGTTATCGTTGAGGGAGTCATCATCAATTATAATTATTTCCGAATCAATCAAGTCGGTTTTCTTGGACTTTTTCTTCTTTTTTGGGGCAGGTTCTTCAAAAGGCTCTATGGTTTTTATCAAATCTTCTGTAGCTTTTTCCTGCTTGACCTTTTTTTTTTTCTTTTGTTTTGCTAGTTTGTATTCATCGCCTTCCACTTGTTGTTCCTCAACGTAGAGGGTCACCGATTGTTCTGTCTCATCCTGAGAGGAGCGTTTGGATTTCTTCTTTTTCTTTTGTTTGTGAGGTGTTTGCTCAATTTCTTCCTCTGCAATCGATGGCTCAACGGTCCTTTCCTTGTCCTTCTTTTTTTTCTTCTTTTTGCTGGGTTCATGGCCATTCTCCGCTATGGTCTCTTCGACCTTCTCATCGTGGCCATTAACCTGTGTCTCGGCACCCGTTGGAGTGGTCTCAGGTCCTTTATTTAGCTTGTTTTTCATGGCCTCCATTTTCTGTTTGAAGTAATCGCTAACAGAAAGTCCAGTGCTTACTGTTTGCACTCCAGCGAAGTTGGGATCCACCAGCTTTTCGTCCTTCGGATCTTCAACCTCTACGAGCACTGGCACATCGATATGGTCTGTTGCCTTCTTGCCAAATATATTGGCCAAATCCTTTTCGCTGTACTGGGTCAAGTCCTTTCCCCGTGTGAACTTCTTGTAGTGAACGCGAGCCTTACTTTGCTTTGATCGCTCCTCCAGCGACATTCCACTGATTTTCTCCTTAAGTTTCTTCTTAGACGGCTCCTCCGGATCTTCGGCTTTGAAGCCGAAGCCCATAGGTCTGGCTTCCTCTTCGGGTTCCGATTCTTTGCCATTAGCCTCGTTATCTTCACCGTTCAGGGATTTGAGCAGTCCATTGAAACCCTCTTCATGAGTGGTCCATTGGTCATCCCTTGCCTCGAATCCCAAACCTTCTGCGTCGTTTTTAAAGCGAATGCGAACAAAATCCTTTTCGCCATCCTGCTTGGCGCCCAGGCCGTTACCCTTTGTCCAGCCCATCTTCTCTAGCATTTTGGTGCCAAATCGGTTTTCATCTGTGAAGTATTTTAATGGGTTATAGGTTTGTGCAGCTAATTTTAATTCAAAATACTTACCTTCATAGAGCGCCTTGCCGCGCGGGCACAAATTGTACCGCTTGCGGCGTCGTGGTTCCGCCAGCATAGCCATATTAGCTTAAATTATGTTATATTTCACTATGTTTGGACTTTATTTTAAAATGAAGCAAGAAAGTAATTCGTAAACACGTGCTATATCGAACAAGAGTTATCGATAACGATTGTTTTAACAGCTGTTCCTTATAGATAGAGATGAGCGATTGTCTCTCAGAAATGCATTCACATTGGTTGGCGGGATTTTAAAAGCATATCTACTTTAATAGCCGGACTCCACCATTTTCACATTAAATCGCTAAATCGTTGTAAATTCTGAAAGCTGTATTGTAGGGTCAGTAAATTTGGGGAATTCCCAGGCGGTATAATTAGTCTGTTCCATAAAAAAATAAAATAAAGGAATATTAACATTATTTTGAAAGGAAGTGGATGTTGTCTAATGTAAATATGGAATGTGCGATTGAATGTAAAGTTTTTATAACTCTCTTTTATTGATTTAAATTACTGTTTGTGCTGGGATGGTGTATTTGTAGATATAAACTTTTTGATTTCCATTCGAAAGTATCACGCGAACTATCGCACATCATTAATTGGGTGTGATCACTAAGTTATCTTTTTGTTTGTCTTGCATTGTTATTAATTTTTCAAACAGCGAAATTGCAGTCGAATTATAATGGATATAAGTGCGGATGTGGATCAGATTATAGCCCAGGCTCCAGACTGGAACTTTGCGGGCGATTGCGCTCTCCTAGCGCTGATGAAGCGCATTTCCCAGGTTTGTTTTTGTATGACGAATGTCTTTATCAACAATCCAACTTGATAAAATGTTTCCAACAGAATCTTCAGGAAAGGGGCGAAAAGACCAGTAGAAATTTAAGGAACTTTGAGAAGAGTGTAAAGCAAGTGGATATATCCTTGAACAATGCCACCAACAGCCTGCGATCCCTACAATTTGGAAATCAATTTGTGGAGTATCGGGTCGAGGAAGTGGATGACGCCGACTTGGCCATGCCCGAAGAAACGAAGAAGAAGGTGCAATAGGCGATTGAATTTTCCAGGGGTGTTGTGATTACCGATCTATGTATATCTGCTTGCAGCCCGAGTTGCCTCCTAGGAGTTCCGAGGAAATGGCCAAGGAGTTCCTGGAAAACAACCTGCGCATGTTCCGCAAGAACTTTGAGCCGGTGACCATTGAAGTGCCCGATTCGGATGACGAGGATGCACCGGTGCACTCAACGTATGTGGCTTCATTCCATAAATTCCGTTCCTTACTAACTTTACCTTCCACAGAACCGTTTTTCGGGCAAAAAATCCTTACGATGCTATTCCCCTGCCCTTTATTATTGGCACAAAAGAGTGGGAGGAACACAAATACGCCGGACTCTATGACAGCAAAGAAAATAGTGAGGATGAAAAGTCCGAAGAATTCTCTTCCAGCTCATCGGATGAGGGGGAATCCGTATCGAACAAAATCGCAAAGCCAGTGAAACAATTTGAGGAGCCCCATCTTTCTGACTCCTCATCCTTGGCCTCGTTTGCCAGGGAGCCGGCAATTGTGTCGCCAGTAATTAAACCTGCTATTCCGGTCGTAGAGGCTACGATTAAGACACTACCGCGGCCGATTATAAGCAGTCAGCGGAACCCTCATGAGAGGGACATGTTCGCTGCACTCCGGCAATCCCCGCCTAGCGATGATCCGCCGTCCACTTCATCCTCGCCCACATCTTCGCCAGCTTTTCGGAACCCCTCCAGTCGTATACCAGTAGTGTCTACGGCCTCGCTGAGCTCCAGCAGCAGCAGTCCTGCCCAACAGCCTCCAAGGCTTTTTGACGAAGCTGTTTCCACGCAAACACCCAAGGAAACTGAGACCAAGCCAAGTCAAACTAAGCGCAAGCCCGTAAATCTTTTTAACGACGATGAGTTTAACTCGTTTATGTCCGAAATCGTTGACAAAGTGCAGAACAAGGGGGCACTAACGTGGTTGTCCCCGCAACAACGATTTCTGTGAAGGAACCACCCAAAGAAAAAAAGCCTTTAGAACAAAATTCAAAGCCTGAGATTCCCAAGCATATAGTTGAGCAGTCTGTGCCAAAACGTGTTAATCTGTTTGATGATAGTCCTCCATCGAGTCCAGCTCCAAGGCCAGAGTCTTTGTTCGACAATGGCAGCGCAACAGGTGCCATCCCAAAACAGAGCCCCGAAATCGTGACCAAAAGAGATCAAGCCAACTCTCTTTTCGACGATTCTCCTTCCCTGCCGAAGCAAATTACGTCTAAGAAACCATTAAAACAGTTGAAGAAATCGCTGTTTGACGATGATTTGGAAGACGATGACTTCTTGAGCTCGTTTACACCTAAATTGAAAGCAGCAGAAAAAAAACCTCTTTCAAAACCAAAATCGTCATTATTTGATGATGATGATTTGGACATTGATGATATATTTATCAAACCGTCAGCCCAGCCTAAAAAGGTCTCTGAAAAAGTAGCTGAAAAGACCAGTTTGTTTAAATACGATGACAACAATGATGTCAATGAATTCTTTGGCTCTAAAAAGGTAATAGAAATAAGAAAGGAGTCGCCAAAGGATATTTCGCCCGACAAAAAGATTGAGCCACCGATAGCTGAAAAGAAAAGTTTATTTGATGACATCGATGATGAAGATCTGTTTGGAACACCAAAGGCTAAGAGTATAATTACTAGTGAACCACATAATGGTCCAAAGACTTTTGAAAATACTGAGATTGAAATAGAAACAGAAAAAGACATTGAAAAAAAGAAATCAATGAAAGAGGAAATTGTACCTATTCTTCGAGAATCCCCTCCCCCCATTGAAAGTGTTAAGGAGCCATCTGCTTCTAAACGGGAAAAAAGTAGCCAGATAAAGGATGATTCTTTTGTACCTATTATTCCTAAATCTACAGATTTGTTCAATGAAGATTTAAGCGATGGTGGATCATACTTAAGTCCTTCAAATAGTAAAATGCGCCCAAAAAGTGGAGCTGAAAGCAAAGAATTTATAAAACCAACGGAACCAAATACTTTTTTGGAAAAAATAGTCCCAGTCGATCTTCCAGCATCTCCTCCCAAGATTACTGATTTGTTCAACGAAAATTCTAGCGATGATGATACATTTTTGAGTGCATCTAAGACTAAGGATAAGCCAATTGGTGCTATAACAACTAATGAAATTAATATGCCAGCCAAAGAACAGTTGGCGAGTGAGATTAAGCCAGAAAAGTTACCCCACAAACTGCCAGAGAACAAAAAAGATGATACCGTGGAAAAAAATGAGGATGTTGTGCCTGAAGAGTTAAGTAAATCTAAAATAGATGTGTCAGTTTCCGAAAGTCCACCTCCAGACGATTATCAAAGCAGTCAAGATCCCATTATAACAATGGTGGCCGATGTCACAAATAAGACACCTAAAGATGATTCCACCCCAAGGAAGCCTGCTGACTTGGCTGCTGCACAGCAAATCATGCAGAATTACTCAAATCTCTTTTCCGACGAGCCGCCGGATGATAGCGAGTTTTTTCAAACGCTTGGGAGCAGTGGTCTTAGCAGCTTAAGTGCCTCGAAGATCTTTGACAGTGAGCAAGACTTCTTTGAACCCGCCTTGCCCCAAATTCCGAATGTGAACAAGTTATCGCCAGTGACGCCCGGAGATCAACCTTCTTCATCATCTGATTATGGTGCCATGTGTTTATTTAGTGACATCCCGCCCGAAGATGACGACCGTGATGATGTACAAGCACAAAAGCAAGCTGAAGCTCAGAAGGAGGAATTTGCACCCACTACAACCCGAATACACACAATCTTCTACGATGACTTCAGTGAAACAGCAAGGGCAGGAGCAGTGCAGCCAGCTGCCAAGCTTTTCAGTTTCGATGACGAACCACCGGTAGTTGACGAACCTGATCGCAGCAAAGCTAAGGAGAGCTCTGAGTTACCTACTCCTACTTCTCCTGTTAAAAAACTGAAAATGCCCAACATCAACATTAATGTGCAGGCCTTGCTTCCTGGCTCCGGAGGCCTACCAAAGCTGCTCAGAAAACCAGAGTCATCTAGTTCCGAAAGAGAAGAGCCTCCAAACACCGCACAGTCCACGGAGTCCACACCGAGTTCAAGGGAGAACGCGATACCATCAGCAGAGGGTGGCCTGCAGCATGTGAACAAATTTCGCGCTCGAGGACCTGCTAAAAGACGTCCCTCGACCAGAAAGGGAAGAAAGGAAAATTACGCCAAAAGCATCTTGGATGTTGAGCAGGGCCCAACTTTAACTTCGACTCAGGGAAGTTCCATGGTAGATACCCCTGAAGTAGAACCATCTAAGTCTAGTGATATCAAGGCTCCTCATTCTCAGTCAGTTGCCACACGGATGTTTCCTGATCCAGCACTTCCAATCCTCAATGAGCCGCCAGAGATCCCGCCGCAGATAGAAAAGTCAGCTTCGGCTAAACTAGGTGGATCAAATTTGGACAGCCCTGAGGAAGATGATTTCTTCTTTAATTCTGTCAACATACAGGCTGTTCCGCCTAAAAAGTGGGTTGGAGGATATAGGGGATCTGATGCACCCAAGTCATATCGGTCATTTCTGGACAGTCCTGAAGAGGATGATCTCGTTTTTAGCCCTTTTGAAAATAAGGAATCCGAGAAAGAGCCCATTTTCTTCGCACAAAAGGTTTCTAATGACCCACCTGTGGATCGGCAACATTTGGAGAACACCTTGAGTCCGCCGAAGTTGGGATCCTCTTTTTTGGACAGTCCTGATGAAGATGATTCGCTATTTAGTACAGTTAAATCAGTGGCGCCCCGAAAATCATCTCCTGCTACAGCGGAAAGACAGGCAAAAGCGGCAACTGCTCATTTAACACTCCCAAACACAAAAGAAATGCCAAAGAAACAGATTAAGCCCAAGTCACTGGCTGCACCGAAACTCTTTGACAGTGATGATGATGATGATCTGTTTGCCACTGCTGCTGCACCAGCTTCTTTGCCTACTATTCAAACTAAACAGCCCACCAAACCGGCGCCAGCTTCACTCTTCAGCAGCGATGACGATGAGGGGGAGGTGCCAGCTAAGATTGCTCCAGTGAAGAAGGTGCCCGTAAATACAAGCAAAAGCCTTTTTAGTGACGACGACGACGATGATGACCTGTTCGGAGGAAGCACTACATCCAAAGGCAGCACCGCCAAAAAGACCAAACCCGTGGCCCGGCCTTCAATCAAACCAGCTGCCAATAAAGCCAGCACGGCAACTGCAACCATTCCCTCTAATTCAAACGATAACCCATTGTCGGATCTTCTGGATTTCGAGTAAAAACATGAATGCCTTTTATTACAATTATGTACAGGTTTTGATCGTTTGATTAGACTGTCGATCAGAGTATTGTTATCCGTTTTCTTAGCAACTACATATAATAAACAATTAATGTCAATGTCGATTTGTGGTCGATTCTTAAAGCTAAACTTCGGGATTTGTTGTAAGAAGTCACGATGATTTAACCAGTTACTCTATTACTAAGTTTATACGCCAGCTATTTGCAACAAAAATTGTTTGTCAAAGAAATTATACTGTGAAAAAGTCTACAATCACATTTTTTGTTACTGTTTATTTGCTATTAAAATTATATCTTACCGATTTTACTGTGGAGTTTCTCACTTAGAACCTTTTTATTTGCAATGAGGCGTGCCCGTAAATTTTGTATTTGTGGCATTATTAATTTGAATCTTGTACTGGCAAATATAATCGGCGTATAAACGTGGCATAGGATTCTCCCAGTGTAACGTTAGTCTACGAACTGAAACTGAGTTAGTTTGTGGCTCTTTGGTCGTTATTCCGAGGAATCTCATTCTAGGTCGAGCATGTCCTACAACTAGTGATTGTAACCTAAGCGCTGACTGATGATCGATTGGGGATCTTTTCCAGGGTTCCTGAACCCCGGTCTCAGAGGGCCACATCGCGGTACTTCCGGTAGTCGTCGGACTCGTTGCCCAGCGAGAGCTTGCTGTTTGTCGTGATGTACGGGTTGGCGTAGTTGGCATAGCCAAAGCCTCCGTAATACTGCATCTGCTGGCTGTGGGTGGAACCACGTCGCTGCATCGGTTGTGCCAGGACGGTGCCGGCGAATCCGCCCGAGGAACTGCAGTTGGAAGGCCTGCGGTAGATCCCAGCCGCCTGTTGGTGGTGCAACTGTTGCTGCTGCTGCTGGTGCAGCAACATGGCCAGGTAGTACTGCTGTTGCTGCGTGTAGTTCTGGAGGAGATTATTCCCGTAGGCGTTTAGGTCGTTCTGCACCTTGCTGATCCCGTCCAGGTTTTCCAGCGAAACGCAATTCCTCGAAAGCTTGCCCGGTGGCGGTTGTTTGTGGCTTCCGCGAGGACGATTGTGGCTCCTTTGCTGAGCGGGTGGCGGTGTCAACTGCTTGGGTTCGATCGAGCAGTATATGGGATCATTGCTAGCGGAGCCAATCAGCGATGGCGGCGATGGTCGGTGCGAGTCTTGCAGATTGTTCTTCAAATCGTCGATGGTTATGTTGAAGTACTTGGCGTTCTTGTCCTCCGTATCGAGCACATGTCGCGGATTGTACATTCCCGGCAGAGTGCAGCGCAGATCCATCAGGGACTGGGCGCGATGGCCACCTGGTGCTCCTCCTGCCACGCCTCGCTGCATCAGAGTGGCGTTGTTGAACTGCTGTGCCAGAGCCGGAGCAAACATGCTGGCGTTAAACTCGTTCTGGGAGCCGAACGCCTGACTGCCGCCGCATTGGTTGTTCATACCCAATCCCATGCCGGGACCCAGGGGCATCTTACCAACCGTCTCATCGCACAGCTGGTAGCCGGCGTTCTCGAATCCACTTAGTCGCTGGCTCGACCGTCGGGAATCCGCTTTGGTCATCGGAACACTGGGTGCGGGCGTTTGCAGGGAGAGCCGAGTGGCCAATCCTTGCAGCTGGCTCAACACCTGGGTCTCCCGGCGCCACCGGATGCCCGTGGGAATCACACAGATCAGCGCGAAGCAGTTGATGATCAGGCGAATCAGATACGAGGTCAGCTCCGTCAGTCCGTGCACTGATTGTAGTCCCTGGAATATATTGCGATTAAAATGGTTGAGTCCCAACGCAGAGATGTGATTTGAAAAAAAATTTTTTTTTCTAAATTTATATGCTTAATTTATAGGATGGTGTGCCACATAAATAAATTAATAAGTTAATAAACGACTTTATTCTTTTTTTTTTAATTAAAAATTAAAAAAGGATTTGGAAATGAGCTTGATTTTAAAACTATAATACCACTCAAAAATGTACAGAAATTCTTTTTGATCATAAACGAAGGTAAACTCAATTTTGTTTCTGTGAATACTGTAATGGAAACTGGTTCTATCTCAGTGGATTTGCTTTTTTGGTGACCAAATTTTATTTAAATAAAAGTACATATTTTCTTGTTACGATTGACTTGCACATTTACATTTTTAAGCATTTGCTATATGTAACTTGTTAATCAATCAAACATAGTAAGATGGCAACATATTGGTACATAGGCGGTTCTTCAAGAAGAAAGAGTTTCACATTATTAGAATCCTATTAAATCTCACAGTTTTCTAAGGAAGGGTATGTGGTGCATTAAGCCAGGAAGCATATCAGACCCCTATTCCCTAACATCTTCTAAAAAAACCACTCTTTCAAAACTATTAACTGTCCTACTTAAAAATCTAACTATTTACTGTTTGTCAATTAAGGTTCTACGGTAATCTTTAATTAATTATCGAACCATACTCTAAAATGTCTTAATAATTTCAGATATTATTTTCGACTAAAATAGCTTGTAAACGCTATTACGTAATATCTTAACTTATAAGAATATTCGATTTAACTTGGACTAAAACCAATTCCATGACTTGGCGAGCTTCTAGTCCTTCCAGTTAGACCACTCATATTTAAGTTTGCTTTAACGACTTACCCAGTGCTGTGTGGTCATGATCATGACAAAGACGAGCTCGGGGATCGAGAGGAGGCCGATGATCCCCGACCAGGCGAACAAGGGCCAGCACAGCCCGCTGACCAGGCCGTGGATGAGGATCGTCGTGGCCACGAACATCACGAAGTAGAGCGAGCAGAGTGTGTAGGCGGCGAAGGGCAGCTCCCCGTGGGCCTCCAGTATCCAAGAGACCTCACACGAAAAGGCCCCCAGATAGACGATCTGCGTGGATTGGAAATCGGAATGGGAAGAGAAATGGAAATTAGCCGCATTTGCAAAAGAAAAGCGAAAACATAAATCAGGCGATGGCAGCCAGAGATGTGTTTGCACAAAAAAACCGGAGACAACTTTGCTCCGCCACCATCCATCAATCAATTAATGAGCTCCCACCCCTCCTCCCTCAACGACTTGGACTGTCTGGCCTGTCAGCTCGGTCGGTCAGCAAAAAAGTAAAAATAAGATGAAATTTGTACATCTCCGCAAAAACGATTTCATTTCATTTTCACTTAATGGAGCAGAAATGTTTTCACACTGATAACGGTAACGGACGGACAGACAGTCCGAGAAAGATGTATGTACGGAGATGGAGACGATATGGAGATATCGCCACTGAAGTTACTTCCCCGCGTTTGCACTTACCAGCAGAAGAACCGCCACCACGCAGCAGATAATGAATAGATTCGCCTTTATGAAGCGCTCCATAATGCGTTCGTTCCAAAAGTTTTGTATGCTATTGCCGTTGCCCGGCGGCCGCTTCTTCAATGAGGACGGCGACTGCTTTTCACTGGCCTTCTGATAATTCATTATTCGTGTTATTCGGTTGCGGTCGTTGTCGAAGATGGTGGAAGATATGTATATGTGAGTGCGGTTTTTTGAGAGAAATTATGCTGGCAAGCGGGAGGGTGGCCTTGGTTCCCCTTTTGGAGGAGGCCAGTGGTGCGATGCGAAGCGGAGCGGTGCGATGTGGTGCGGAGTTCTAGTTCTTGGTTTATGTTCGAATGGGTTTCGAGTCCAGACCGCTTGTGGGTTGAATGAAAGCGTTAAGCGGCCCAATTGAGCCGTGTCATGCTAGGTTGGTGCTGAAATGAGAATTCCGAGATGAGATGAGTCCAGTTCGATACTCGGAACAAAAGACTTAGGCAGCGAACTTGTTTTGGCTGCTACACATATGAACAGGCCAACAAAAAAAACAAACAAACATACAGAGTAGCACTCTCAGTCAGTCGGCTAACGGCCTGTGCCATATTATTAAGAAGATTTTCACTTTTCTACACAACCGTTTTGTTGGCCAAGTCTTTTGTTTGGTCGAGCAAATATTTGACCCTAAACAAATGATGTCGCGTGCTAAGAAGGAAGCTTCTGGTTGAATGCTAACTGACACTGTTTACCAGTTGCCAGTTACGAGCCACCTTATGTCATGACAAATGAATTCTCAAACACGGCAATACCCAAATCAATTAATCAATTACACTCCGCTACCAAACTTTAGTACAACACATATTTCCTGCTGAAACCAAGTAATGATATACTTAACTAATAGAACAGCTTTAATGAAATATGTTTGAAATTTGTTTATTGTTTAAAGGTAATGTAAAGGTATGATTAAAAGGTAATGTACATTATATAAAGAAGAGTCAAACAATAGATTGAAATACTTTAATATCGAAAGGTCTGTACCATAAAACAAAAGAACATCTCCTAAGTTAACAAAGGCCTGAATTTCATTACTGTTTTGCAATTAATTTACTCAATTTGTAATAAATTTTATAAAAATTATTCTATAATATCTAACGTGATGTTTTTTATGTGTTACCCAAAATGTATTAAATTTAATAATAGATAGTAAACCAGTTTTAAAATGCATAATAAAACACAAAGCAATAAAACGAAAATACTTTTATGAAATAAAAAATGAAAGAAAAGTGAAAAAATTTGAAATGATTCATGATAAGAAATGTGAGACCAGTAACAAATGGAAAGTAATTTAAAGATTTATTTCAACCCATTCGAAGGTGTCGATTCCGGAGGCACTTGTAAAGAAAAAAACCCAACCAATTATCTCATTGGCTTGCCCACGAAATCGTGTTGTGAAGTGTAAACAATTGAGACGCCTCGCCAACACATCACTCAGAGCCCAGTTATCCATTTAGTCGGATACGGTAATCCGCCCATAATAGACATACACATCGTCACCAAAATAGAGGCGACGAACTTGCTGAATGCCGTCAGCACGCAGGTGCGCCGAGCTCATCGAGCGGTGAAGATGATGATGATGATCCACCCGAAGGCGTACCATGGGTTTGGTCTGGGTGCTCTTGCTCCCCAAAAAGGAGCGACGCACCGGATATGCGCACCTTAAAGTGTCGGGCGTCGACTTGCCCCATTGACATTCCGCCGACGTTGCAAGTTTGGAACCCGATCCGATCCCCCAGCTCTTTCCTGTCCCACTGGAGATGGCGATGCGGGCCCGGTTTTGGCTTTCTTCGGCGGCCGGAAAGAATTGCAAGCCAACTTTGTTTTATTGCTAATTAGCTGGACAAACTCATTCTCGCTGGGCTGTCCGGTTTTTCGGGGGCAGTGCCGTCGTTTTCTGAAACGGGTTTTCGGCGGGCTCCGGCTGCTATTAGCACTCACCGCCGGGAAAAGGTGGCAAGCGATTTCGGAGCGCCCTTGACTGACTGCCACACCCATGCGGCGAGGATTACGAAATTATGCAGATCCAACATCATATCTGTGAACCTGGTGTGACCGAAAAAATGCGAGCAGCATTTCAAAATAATTCGCATTGTATTTTCCACGCTTTGGGCAATTAAATTAATTTAATTTCGTTACTGTTGCCTATGTGTTGCTGCTGTGTCTGCATTGCGAGTTCAATAGCATAAGTGCAACAATGGACAACAGTGAATGCATGAATAAACAACAATGCAGCGGCAAAGTTATGCAAATTGTTATTATGAAGTCGATGTAAATCGAAATGGGAATGAAATCGAAATGAAAAGGCCAATCCAATGCGTTGCCGTTATGCTGTGCCTGTGCGTTTCAAAATGCAATCATCTATTATATATCCAGCATACGTATCGATGCGATGTAAAATATACCTTTCACTTTATGATTATTATTGCAAGCGATCCATCCCGTATAGCAGTTACAACAGGCACAAGAAATACCAAAAACTAAATGAACAATAAGCGCGGATCGCAGGAATTATCAGTCAAGCAAGAAACGATTTCTCAGCGACGCACTCACACACGCGGCCACGAAATTGTTCAGCGTTGAGTCATGGCGTACTATAAACATTCAAAAGATTCGAAGTTGTCGCTCATGCAAATTGCGTAGCCCGACTTTAATGGGGCACACATAGCCGTATAGCCACACTCAACAAACACACCAACTAGTGGTTCTTGGCACTTTTACTGCGCGCACAAATTAAATAAAGCCAGGCTGGGGAACTCGTTTTTCGGCTCATCGCAAAAGCGAAATGCTCTCGTATGCAATTATGTTTTGATTGTTATTTAATTGTACAACGGTTAGGCCACCAGCACCAGGTCAAGTCAAAGTTGACGGACGTGAGAATGGTTGGTATGTGTGGGTCACTCACTCGCACTCGTGAAAAGCCGTAACGTGCCGCGATAACGGTACGCTTCAAGTTGGCGCGCTCGCAAAACGGTTAAAAGTGAAATTCGAAAGACTGAGGAAACGAACTGCGTTCGCCGAACGACTGCGAGCACTGCGACCGCTACGACGTCTGTTTGGCAACTGAAGAGCACTCCCAGCCGTAAGTTTCGAGCCAAGCTCGAGCTGTGCTCTGGCCTGTCGTTTGTTGATTTACATTTTTCTGTCGGTTTCGTTTGTTTTCGCTGGCTGTGCAGCAAGTTCACTCGCCCTGACTCTTGTTCCAACAATTAAAACTTAATTTCTAACTGGCAATGATGCTGTCGGCGGGCTGGGGAACCCTCGCATTTGCATAATTTGATGCCAAAGCCCAGACGAAAATGAGGCCTAACGGTCATACTTTTGTTTTGGGCCAGCTTTTACGCCTGATAACAAATGGTTTGGCCGGTGGAACAGCTGCCTGTTCTAATTAACGCTCGCTGGGGTTTCTTTTTTTCTCGTTTTCGTTTATTCGAAATTCAATTTGTGTGTGTTTCTTTACTAGCTATTGTGCCATTGATATATATGTTTTTCTCGAGGTATTTTCCTCCTTTCTTCAGGTTAAATTAAATTCAAATATTGGTATTCAAATGGCAACTTAAATGGTTTTCAATTCCACTCAGTCTCTGGCTATCTATGAGTACGAAAAGTAGGTAAATTCACGAATCAAAAGTTTTAAATGCCTAGCTAATAGATAATAGCTTAATGATTGTATCGGGGCGATTTCAAACGTATACATCTAATACAGCCTGTTTCAGCTAAAACTATGCTTAAACCGCTATTCTTTTTGGCTCAATGGTCGGCAGAAGATCCATTCTGAATCGTCTCAGTGTTAGCACAACCATCTAACACTCCGCTCAGCTGGCCAATCCGCTTGATTTGGTCCATTAGTTCGGCGATCTCGGGGGTGCAGTTACGGAACTTCCTTAAATAAGAGTAGCCACGCAGCATCTCGTTGTCCAGTACGCATCTATGATGAATTTGAATAAACTTGTATTCAAGTGTTTCTAATTTTAAGTGATATTGACTCCACTTACATCAGGGCTGCCGCAGCGAAATTGCCCGTGCCTTCTAGATTCTCGAGCCACCTGTTAATTATGGTTTTGATCAAGGGATCCGTCGCTGGCAAGCATATGCGGGCATGAACCAGGGCCTCTTTGTAATACTCGTTGGCCAGGAATAGATCAATGGCTTCTGATTGCATTCCCAGGCTAAAGAGATACGTGGCTGCGTGCATGATGAACCCCTTTTCTTCCATCTGTTTGGCATAAGCGCGACAGCACTCCTGCCAAAACCTGAAAAATGATCTTGGTTAAAGAAAAACCGCTTCATATTTAAGAACATTAAACACTTACGTAAAAGACACTGAGGGAGCCACCGAGAGATGCCATTCGGTAAGCGTCTTGTTAGCCATATGCTGCTCCAGTTCCTCTCGCAACTTGAACGTAGATATGGCCAGACAAAGCGGGGCTATGTCTTTTGTGTTCGAGTGCTTCAAATTGGTCACTGAAATATTTTATTTGTCGTTAAAATTCAACCTAATTCATTCAATTAACCTACACTCTGTTGCAATGAGCTCTTTAGCCATAACCTTGGTACTAAAAAGCTTGGACATCAGCACTGACTTGTCAATCTTGGCCGCATCTTCTGTAAGAACAATGGCCAGTTTCTCCAGGGCGCTCTTGTTGAGCTCTTTCTGGGCGAGGTAGAGACAGGTGCGGCTATGCTATAGTTGGAAACGTTGTTAGCTTAAAATTAGAGGAGAATACAATTGCCAACTTACAGTCAGGAAACTGTCGGGAGGCTGTTTGGCCTCCAGTTCCTTGCACTTTATGCACTCCCTAGTATTCATTTTGTTAGTCGTTTTGTTCAAGTCGAGAGCGCCCAGCATCTCCTCTACTGGAGTCTCATTAACAGGTGTATCCTTAACAGGGAGTTTTTTCACTGATGAGTCCGACTCCTGAATCTTCTTCACCTCCTTGTTGGCTGGCTCAGCTTCTAGCTTAGCCGCCACTTTGCGTTGCTCGCGCTTTTGCCGCTTTTTGTCAGCCGCTGAAAGAACTGGGGCAAAGGGCTGCGTCAGGGATTTGCTAGCCCACTTAACGTTTAACAGGGCATCCACCTTGGGGCAGATGTTTTTCTCATCGCCGGACAAGGCGTCTTTGATGTCGAGTAGCTCCACGGAGAGCGCCTTTCCTGAGCACATAATGATGTTCTCGTCGGTGGGCAAAAACATTCCGCACCACATGGGGCAGTGGTAGGTGATGGTCAGTGGTGGCTTCTCCGGTTCGTTGCAGTTCCAAAGGCACACCTTTCCCTCGATGTGGAAGGTGAGCAGCAAATGCTTTTGGCTATGGCTCCACTTCAGCGAGGTTATCGAAGCCTTCTCCGCATTTGCCGTGAAAGTGTGCTGCGTTATCCATTTGCGCTCCGACGGTTGGAACTCCATCACGTACACAAACTTGTCGTTGCCGGCCACTGCAAACGTATTGCTATCCAATGGGTTCCAGGCTATATCGGTCACATAACGAGCAAATAAAGCTGACTGGCGGATGAACGGAGTCCAGGACTTGTCCATTCCCGAATCTCGCTCATGGAGCTGCAGTAGTCCATCATCGGTGCCCACAAAAAGGAAGGATCCACGCACGCTGAGGTAACTTGGCCGAGAGATGCAGTTCACAACAATGGGTTCTGCAAAAAAAAACATAAATGAATGGTTAGTTTAGACCGTTCTCTAACCAAAGTTTTTTACTTAATAAAATCGATGATTATGTATTTTAAGTAATGTGTGCAATGCACATTGAACAGAGTTTATTGGTATTGTTTTTAAAGAAGCTTTGAATTGTTAATCGATCTTCACTTTCGTTTGCGTTACTTAAAATATTAAAATTAATCTTAACGATTTATGTCTAATTACATCGGTATTAAATCCCAAGTGTATTTCCACTTAATTTTTGGATTAAGTTCAAGGTTTACGTGTTGTTCTGAGTTTAATCAAAAAATTAAATCTTATCTTAACAGCATGAAACCTTTTGATTTTAGTTAAAATGTACCCCATTGTTGTCCGAAAATGTTTATTTCAAAGGTAATTGTGCGACCATTTTAATGACTTACCAGGAGCAATTAAAAATTCAGCAATTTTTAAATATCACGGAAAACTTGAAGCGTTCATGGACAACTAAAGTTATACGAAGTCGAAATCGATTACATTGTAACCTGGGGCAACAGAAAGTAACAAGTAGCAAACAAATTGACAAGCAGTCACGTTACACATTTTTTTTCATCAAAATAATTATCTTGTTCTGAAATAAATTCATTTTTCGGTTTATTAGAATGCCGCGGCACAAGACACTGGTGACTATCGGCCACCGCGTCATGAAGCGCTTCCATCAGTTGGATCTGCAGGTGGACAAGGAGTTCGTCATCTTCGTGGTTCACCTGCTTGCCAGGGATCAGCGACAAGGTCTGGTTAAATACGACCTGAATAAACCTACTGCCTGTGCTATCGACTCTTTCGTAAATACAATTGTGGATAGCTATGTGAACCCGAAGAATTGTACAATGGCGAATATGAAAATGGCGTGGGTGATGAAGAAAGGAGTAACTATAGACCTTGAATACGTCAAGAAGCAATACGAGGAAAAGTTCCAAACCGAACTGCAGGTGCTTATTAGGGATATTCTTCAGTACCCAGAGACCTGCAATAAAGTGCAGCTGGACCAGCTCTTCGCCAAGATGCAGGTCTTTATCGTAGCCTGCTACAATCTGGGATCGCCCAAGAACCATGTGCTGCTTAAGCTGACGGCCCAGGCTCTGAACAGCGTGATCGGGCGCAGTGATCTGCAGAATTATGTTCTAAAGAAGAAGTACCATCGGCTGGAATACCTCCAGAGATTGGCGGCCACTGTGGGTGGCATTGTAATCTATAACAACGATGGCCCTGATGGGGATCGGGAGAATGTAAGAAGTGGTGGGTGCACAAATTTGTTGGTGACTTTCCTTATAATAGGATGCTTTTTTGATTTCAAAATTAATATTTTATCATTTTTAGTGGTTAATGATCTGGAAATGGCGCAAAAAAACACTGAAGCCGCCTTTTCAGCCAGTATGGAAAAGGCTGTGAAGATGAGATCCATCTGCCAGGCGGCCCTTGATGATCTCATAGAGATTGATCACAAGGACGAGACCTTGACCTACCGTGTGCCTCTCGAACACCTGGAGCGTCTGAACCAGTTCTCGCTGACCTACTTCATGCAACATCGCTGTCTGACCACTCTGAACGAGAGCTACCTCAGCACAGTGTACCTCATCGAAGTCGAACAGAAGCGCTATGACTGCGTGATCGCCAAGATAAACGATGCCCTCTCAATGCGTACCGCCATCGATTCGGAGCTTGTCTTTGTAAGTGAAATGTTTTGTACCTAGAATTCAAATCACCCTAATCTTGTTCGCTCTTTTAGCCGCACTTTGTGTACATCTCCCAAGTTTGGGGCAATCTTAACAACTTCCTGAACCACATTGTGGAGTTGAACAAACTTAGGGAGCAGGTGGAGGCGTTGGTCGTCGACGAGTTGATGACCCTGGTCAAGGCTACTATTGCCGAACTTCAGGCCCTGAATAAGCGTATAAAGAAGCCTAGGGTCTGCACCTTTGAGGAACGCATGGATGCCGTGAAGGAGCTGCAGACGGATGGCAACTTTTGCAACCTGAACAAGGCGGATATAAAGGAGTTTTGCTCCCTAGCCATGACCATAACGAACGGATTGCTTATGCCGGCCCAAGTAACTAGAAAACTTTGCTCGAATGTGGACATTACTTTTGGATTCCGGGACCCCAGATATGCTCGATTCGCAGAGCTCCGATTTGAGCCTTTCATAGCTGTCTTTAGGCAAGTGGTCTTTAACAGTGCCAACCTGGCACTTCTCTTTAAGCTGGACGATGTGCTGATAGCCCAGGAGCTTCAGGATTTCGTTGTTGAGCCGCCAAAGCAAAAGAACTTTGAATGTCAAACGGAAATGGTCGTTACCAACGACCTATCGCCGGCCAACTGGATAAACGTAACATGGAATGCGTGGGACTACCATCGGGAAACTATCCACTTGGCTAACCTCCGTAAGAAGCAAACGAACGACATGCAGACTAAGATCAGCTACGGGCAGCGAAACGCCCAAAACCAAACCTACAACACTCGACAACATTTGTGATGAGGACCAAATCTGCACTCACCGGTTTTTGATCTTGTTAAGTCGAAAAACCCGAAAACTCGATTGACAATGAAGTAAATGTAGTGGTCCTGCCACACCAGGGAGTAGACTTCCTTCTTATGGGGCGTCCGTAAATGGGTCTTCACCTTCATGCGCTCCACATCAAGGATTCCCACCTATTGTTGTTTTGGATTTAGCTTTAGTCTTCAATAAAATCGAATTAGATACAAAACTTACCGTTCCGTCGAAGGTGCCAAAGGCCAGTTCCAAGCAGTTCGGACTCCAGGCCAATGAGTAAACATTACTGGTCACATAGACGCTATCGATGGGAAGGCAGCTGGTCGAGAGCTTCGATATGTCGAAAAAGGCCACTCTACGGTCCGAACAACCCAAAGCGATTCTACTCGAGAAAAGAAGAAGTCATTATTGGGCTTAGAAAATATAATATAAGCTTACTTGTTCATATCATCCGGACACTCGGCCATAGCTCGCACTCCGAATGCCACTGTGCCGTAGAAGGCACTGACTTGGCCAGTCAGGGGATTCATCATTCCAATCTGTCGATTGTTCCTGCACAGCCAAATTATCTCTTTGCTAGAGTCACACGAAAACGATACAATGTCTTGCAGCTGGCAACTGTGTGTTTTGTCCCTGCTGATCTTGTAGCGAAGCATCTTCCGTTCAAACTCAAGTGACCAGAAGAACAGCTGATGGCGACTCAGGGATACAATGACCTGGTCGTTAAGCCAGTAGACATTGTTAAGCTTGCCTGTGGAGAAATAGGGTTTTTGATTCAGTAATCGTTGTTTACGGTTACTCGAGGCGACTCACCTGCCGCTTTGCTCTTGCTGTAGTTCTTGCCAGCATGCGCTCCTGTATTCGCATTCCAAATCATCATCACCTCATCTCCGTCAATTGAAACCAGTAAAGTGTCCAACCTAGTGCTGTTCCCGGATGTCGAGCTGATGGTCTCCGTGCTGATGGCCGGCACCACTTGGAGATTGCTCGTTGGCTCGACCTTTGCCTGTGGCGTTTCCGAGGCGTGCACCTCAGCCTGGTGGTAGATGTGATGCAGAACTTCTCTCTTTGGCTTTGCGGCCTCGCCATCAACGATCACGGCATCGTCGCTCGAGGAGCTGTACTGGATTACTTCGAGACTGCCTTCGGTGGAATCGCTGGCATCGTGTTTGTTGCTAATGGTACTGGCATCACTTAACGGACCAGTGGGCTTTGTAGGCTCACAGTCGTTCAGGGTGACCTCCACGTGATGGGTATTTTCCTCTTGGCGATTTGCCAAGAGATCTGCCTTAACGCTCTCACAGGCTTCGACGAAATCCAGGGCAGCGGCACCGGCTGGCTTTTCCAGGCCCACAAACCCGCCTTCGCAGTCTACAGAGGATTGGCGTCGCGCAGCAACAGGTGCTCCAAACTCGCACTCCAGGTGATCAAAGTTGTAAATGTCGAACATGTCGTCAGACTCAGCGGCTCTGGATTTCGACAGAGGTGGTGGCTTCGGCTTGGGCTTTTCATTTTGTTCCCCATTGCGGCTTCGCCATTGTTCGGCCCTTGAGGTAAGATCGTTGAGGTGCTCTTCCTGTGGGGCAGGCACTTCCCGCCAGGCCAGGCCGCATATGGGCGCCTTGTGCCCGTGGAACTTATAGACTATGTTCATTTTGCGAAGGTCGCAGACCAGCACGTTTCCCATTGCTGTTCCCACGGCAAATAGGTTGTCGTTGTGGGGGGAGCAGCGCACTATCGTGAGCTGGTGGTTCCGGGGCGAAATGAAAGTGGGCCGGCGGCAGTAGGTGTTGGAGGCGACGCAGTAGATGACCAGGTCGCTGGCGTCCATAGACAGTATGTTGCCGTTGGCCAGGTAGCTCATCAGCACGGAGCTGGTGGTGTGGTGCACGGGACGCACATCGCGTGCCTCGTGCTGATGCTGGTGGGCCTTGTGCCCAATGACGGCTTCTCCCAGTCCGCAATCCCAGACCTGAACGCTCAGGTCATCGCCGACTATGGCGAACGGTTTGGCTGGATGCCCGCCGCCACTGCCCCACATGGGACTCACGTCCAGAGCCAGGATATTGATGCGAGTCGACATGGTCACCACCTGGGGCTGTTCTCCGCTCGCTGGTGGAGCGGATATGTAGTTGATGCAGCGTATGCCGGCGTACAGCAAACCACCGTCGGGAGCGGCTGCCGCCAAGGACACGTTGCCCGGCGGAGTGGGCACATTGTGGTACATAACCTGCGAGTTCATGGCGAAGGATCACAACTTGGCATTAGCAGAATTAAGGATTATTTCCCGCTAACATTTGGCGTCGAGATTTTCTTCCAGGCAACTAGTGTTAGAAAGCTTCGCAAGCTTTGCTTTGGTAGTGCTGCCACCCTATGAGATAACAGCATTCATGGAATAATACAGTAGGTCCAAAAATGATTTTTCCGATGTAGAAAAGCTTAAAACCGATTGTATACAAGCAAATAAATATATATTTCAATTTCGTTCATAAATAATGTGTAAGTTTTGCACAATGACTAATTTAGTTTTAGACCACACATAACTACCTTTTTCGCCATTTTTAGATTTAATAACCGATTCAAAATTTGTTCGGGTTAAAATATAACGAACACCTATTTGTAATGTATATTTCAGGTTTAAATTAACCGCAAAACACTAAAGTAGTAATGATAATATATCCTGCACATCTGGCAACTCTTTATAATTAAGACCCTAGCCAACACTTGTTCCCGGTGAATGGCCACCAGCAGGTATATAAGAAGCAGACGCACAATAACAACGCAAAAAAGAAGAAAACTGTAGAAAACTGGTAAACTCTTCGAGTAAATATAGGGAAACTAGGAACAATGGAAGCAAAGCGCGAGAGAAAGTCATCCCTGGTATGTAGATTGAGAATCGATTGAAAGGAAAAAGAAAACCCTGATAGGAGTCTGATTTTCAGGCCCCACTTTCTCCATGTCCCATTCCGGACATAACCGATGACGATCTGGTGAGCATTTCGGTGCGGGATCTCAACCGCACACTTAAGATGCGCGGCCTGAACCGCGAGGAGATTGTTCGGATGAAGCAGCGGCGTCGCACGTTGAAGAATCGCGGATATGCGGCCAGTTGCCGCATCAAGAGGATCGAACAGAAAGACGAGCTAGAGACCAAGAAGTCCTATGAGTGGACGGAACTGGAGCAGATGCACGAGGACAACGAGCAAGTGCGTCGCGAGGTGGGCAACTGGAAAAACAAGTACAAGGCGCTGCTGCAGTTCGCAATCCAAAACGAAATTCCCATTCCGAGCGAGCTGGAGGGCTGCTGATTCCCCCAGTCACATTACAAGTTTGTCTGTCAAAATTTCAATAAACCCCTATGAAAACACCTGTAACTAAAGTACAATAGTTAATTTTTCGTTTAATAAAAGTAATCGACTTTCTGTATCCGCTGGAACACCCTGTATTTTGCAAGCATAAACAAAACCCGTGTCGGCGTTCGCTGTGAATACCAAACGAGCCGGGGCGCACAAGGAACTCGGCCAAAAAAGCTGGTTATGTATTCACCTCGATAGCTCCACGGTCCAGGTCCAGTATTTCATCCAGCCGGACACATGGCGTTTCGCTTCTTTGGCAAGTCCCTACTCTATGCCCTGCCGCTGGGAGTAACTTTCCTGGACTGTGTTGGATATGTGGCCAGGGTAGATGGTGGGTCGTCGTCGTCGGTGCTTCATTTGTGATCCAACTTATCCCGCTCCTTTCACCGCCAGGCATATCCATGCAGCCCGCTCTCAACCCAGTGCCGGATGAGAAGGACTACGTGTTCCTGCTACGCTGGGGCACACACAACAGCCAGGTGGAACGCGGCGACATAATATCCCTTATCTCGCCCAAGGATCCCGCTCAGAAGATCATCAAACGCGTGGTGGGGCTACAGGGCGACGTGGTCTCCACGCTGGGCTACAAGCACGAGATCGTGCGCGTTCCCGAGGGCCACTGTTGGGTGGAGGGAGACCACACTGGCCACTCCATGGACAGCAATACCTTCGGACCCGTGGCCTTGGGCCTGATGTCCGCGAGGGCAGTGGCCATTGTCTGGCCACCGGAACGCTGGCGGAAGCTGGAGAACGAGCTGCCACGCCGCCGGAGGCCCATCCAGGCCTCTAAGAACACCAGCAACTACTATAACTAGACTGACCACCTGGCGGAGAGTCTGCGCCCAAGATAGTTCCAATTGTGTACATACTTACAGAAATACGCGTATATTTTATAATCAATTGTTGTGTTCCCGAATGCGAGGCAAGGTAGGATGTTCTAAATTAAATATGAAAGTAAAAAGCCAAAGAAAGTTTTATATTATTTGTACTAGATCTTTAAGCGTTTTTAATTGCAATATCGTGATCCCAAGATTAATTAGGAGTTACTTTCAGCCCTGTCCCAAGTTTCACTCGAATTCAATTTGCATAAAATTAAAAATTGTAATACCAAAATTGTACCCAAACTAAAAGTGAATTCGAATACTTTTTTGAATATAGAACTTGAACAGGGGTACATAACTTTAGATCATCGGGAATCTACCTTCGGTAAGTAGTCATATTACTTTTAAGAATATTTAGTGATCGTTTTACAGAAATAAAGCTAATAGAGCTTCATTCAAAATATTTTGCTTTAGATATTTCGGTATTTTCATTCCAGTAATATGTATAAATACCTTTAATATATTTAAATGGTTAAACTATTTTAAATAACATATTTATTAAAATCACTGTTTAATTTGGAGTCTTGTAGTAATTCAAAAAATTAATCTAAAAGAAAAGAATCTAGAAAATATAAGCATGACAATTATAATTTTTTTGAATAGTTTCTCTTATACTATAGAATTTTCCGCGACTGAATGCCGAACAACTCCATCATGCTGATGGTCTGCTTCAGTGCCACACCTGCGCGGACGATCTCGTAATAGCCTGGAGTGGCCAGATCAATGACCGTTGAAGCCAGACGCCGCTCTTCTGTGAGTCCAATTTGGCCTGCATCAAAGACACCGCCCAATTGCGGCCACAGGGCCCGGAACTCCGAGACTTCCAGGCTGCTTGGCTCACTGGAACGATTAGCGCTGGTAAGGGCCAAAGGCTGCTCATGCCAAACGGCACACAGGTCGCGCATGAACTTGAAGTCCGGAATGCGAATGCCGATCTTGGAGGTGCTGGGATTAAGGAACCGGTTGCTCAACTGTGGTGTCCGCTCGATCACGATGGTCAGGGGGCCCGGGAGCAAACGAGTTAGCAGCTCGTCGCTGAGATGGGCAGCCTGACCAAAGCGACGCAGAGCAGCGATGTTGTGTACGCAGATTGCCACGGGTTTGTGCTCATTACGGCCCTTAATATCGTAGAGCCGTTGGATGGCTGACTCGTTATTGGCATCGCAGGCCAGGCCATATACTGTGTCGGTGGGCAGGGCAATAACCTGACCACTTAGCAGGCACTGGCGGGCCAGTTGAAGAGCCGCCTCATCTCCGACTGGACAAATTGGAGTGCTTAGCTCACTCACTCGGTGCTGCATTCTGGTCGTTTTGTGGTGACCATAGACAATTCGTAGCAGCTGCGTCTGCAGGCGGCGCATTAGTCCCGCCAGGTGTGGTTGCATTCGTGGTTGCAGCACTTGTAGAACGTGGTCATGGGCTCGTCGGCCGACCGAGTCTGGATTTGCATAAAGTATGCCCGCTTGTGGCTGCACGTTGGGCACTCTGCGTCCGTCGAGTCCACGTTCTCCCACGCTGCCTTGCCGCCCAAAACGTGATCCACCTCCTGGAATTACAGAACGTGGCGATATTATCACGAATTACACCCAAATTTAATCATCCAACTGGATACCGATCTTACCTTAAGGCGGGGGAAGGTCTTTGCGGAGATTTTACGCCTAATCTTCGATATGTACGGGCAGGTGTTGCACGTGAAGCGGTGGCAATTTGTGTCCTCCTCAATAATCAGTATATTTCCGCACGACGGGCAGAAAAACAACATAATTTCGGAGAATCCGCGTATGTTTTATTTTGAGCACGTTGAACGTTCCTTGACAGTGTGGCCGTATTCAAAGTTAAAAATGCATTTTATTTAAATCACAACACAAAAATATCGAAATTCATGATATTCTTGTGTGCTTATATGTACCTTTGCAGAGTTTAATATAATTGTATTCAAGCGAGTGAGAGACTTTTCCGACCCTATATGTATATGTATGTATATTCTTGATCAGCTAACTATGTAGGATCTCAAAACTTTTCCAAGTCTTCATATTCTAGCTCTCACCCTCTTATTCAGCTGTGGCTAAACAAAAAATAAACCACCATTGTTTAAGTCTATTCTGCGACACTAAAATGAATTATTTACCAACCATTTTGGCAGCTGTACAACAGCAAAATCTAAAGACTAATATGTCTGCAGATTTTAGCCAGCCTGCAGAGAAAATAAGCCCAATATTGATTAAACGGTAACAAATAAAAGTTATTAAATATAAATATGTTTCTTTTTTTTTCATTTAAAATTTCATTTTATTTTTAAATTAACCTATCTACAAACGTATTCTCAAAAGATCCAACAATTCGGATTGGAATTTAGCTTGGCTGTCTGCCATCCTCGACATGATTTCGGTCTGCTTTTGCTGCTCCTTCAGACTTTTTTTAGCTATCTCCAAAAGCATGTCCTTGTGGTTACCCTTTGCGCGCTTTGCAGGTGGCGCAGTGCTGACTGAGGCTTGAATTCCACTGCAGATGTCATCGGGGTCCATGCCATCGGAGTCCATGCCATCGGAGTCCCCATCCAAGACCTCCCCAAAGTATTCTTTTTAATTAAAAACACTGAATTATTACAAATATAAAAAGCATTTATTGTTTGTACCTTTTGCTTCTACGCCTTTCATTTTCAAAAGTAAGTAAAAAGTAAAGTGAGTAAAAGTCAAGATGTCGTAAAGAATGTTTCAATTTTCCTTGTCAAGAAGAAGAACTCAGAGTTGCACCGAAAAAACATCGCCTAACTATCGCATAAAAAAGTGCGTCAGATTCGGATGGGGAACTAACTGGGAATTTTCGGAACGGAAAAACCTTATGGAACATCCGTTCAACGGATGGTGGATGGATTTCTGTGGAAAGACGGCATTACTGAAAGCTTGCACTGCGCGAAATTACATACATAATACATAATGCTTTACATTATATGCCCTCTTCCCATAGAGTCCATCCGTTCGAAACAGTGTTATAAATAATAATTGGTAACAGACTGCAAGTGGTCTACGCGAACACCCAAATCGAACTAATAATGTACTTGTATGTCTGCAGATTTTTGCCAGCCTGCAGCTAAAATATGAACCGCTTTTGCCGAATATTGTCTAAATGGTAACAAATAAAGTTCATTAAATATAAATGTTTGTTTTTTGTTTCATTATAATTTCGTATTTTATTTTGTTTTTATTTTTTTTTTAATGTTAAGGATGGCAGACAGCCAAACTCAATTCAATGACATGATCTCGGTCTGCGCTCGCTGCTCCTCCAGCTTTTCTCGAGCGATATCTCCACAAGCTCGGCCTTGTGGTCCACCTTTGCACGCGTTGCAGGGGACGTAGAGCTTCCTGAGAGTTGACTTCCGCTGCAGAGGGTTCCAGGTCAGCGGGGTCCACATCTAAGACCTTCAAAAAGTATTCCCTATTACCTGCAATAAATATGTTTTATTAGTAATTGTAAACCACAAATATAAGTCTGGGTCATACTCTCGTTCTCCAAGGTGTTCTGCTCCGTGTTGTGAGTACGGTATGCGCCTAGGAAAGAGTCTAGCAACACCTAATGCTGCCACACGGATGGAGCAGTAATTAATTAATTATTACAAGTATAAACAGCATTTTTTGATTTTGCGCCTCCCTTTTCCAAAAGTTACCCGCTGTTATTTTTTTAAATTTTCGTAGTGAATGTTTCAATATTCACTGTCTAGAAGAAGAAATCAGAGTTGCACCGAAAAAACATCGCCTAACTATCGAATAAAAAAGTCCGTCAAATTCGGATGGGGAACTAACTCGGAATTTTCGGAACGGCAAAACCGGATGGTGGATGGATCTCTGCGGGAACACGAAAATACTTATATTTATTTCCATTTGACGCACATCTTTTGAAAACACCGCAGCCCTGGAATATACTAAATGTATTATAGCTTTTGGCTGTAGTTTAGTATTTTTAGGTAGCTATTTCATGTATCATATTTATGGTCACATTGCTTAAAAATTATTGCAATAAATCATCAAAATAAACAATTTTTGGAAGACTTTTAAGTTAAACGTTGTTAATAATTACAAATAAGTAATCATGTCGGCCGATGTACGCGATATTTTGGACATGGAGCGTGCCAACACGCCCGAAGTGACGAGGGATTCTTTTCTGGCCACCAAGAAGCGAAACTTCGAGCGGTAAACAAATGCATTCACATGGTCATTTTTAATTAATTAACCAACGCTTAATTTGTCAGGACTAAGACAGCATCTCGACGACCGGAGGGAATGCATCGGGAGGTGTTCGCTTTGCTCTATACAGACAAAAAGGATGCTCCGCCGCTCCTGCCCACCGATACCGCCTTGGGCATTGGAGCCGGCTATAAGCAGACAAAGGCGCGTCTGGGGATGAAGAAGGTGCGCAAGTGGGAGTGGGCTCCATTCTCAAATCCGGCGCGCAACGATGCCGCCGTTTTTCATCACTGGAAACGGGTTACCGACGATTCCACGGACTATCCGTTCGCCAAGTTCAACAAACAGCTGGAGGTCCCCTCCTACACCATGACGGAGTACAATGCCCACCTCAGGAACAACATTAACAATTGGAGCAAAGTGCAGACAGATCACCTGTTTGATCTGGCCAGGCGGTAAGCTTCGCATTCTTAATTTATGGTCAAAATTAATATGTTCTATGGATTGCAGTTTTGACCTACGTTTCATTGTGATGGCGGATCGCTGGAATCGCCAGCAGCATGGCGCTAAGACCGTGGAGGAGCTTAAGGAGCGCTACTACGAGGTGGTGGCTCTGCTCGCCAAGGCCAAGAATCAGACCGGTGAAAAGAAAGTATTCACTTATGATGCTGAGCACGAGCGACGGCGCAAGGAGCAGCTCGAGAAGCTGTTCAAACGCACCACTCAGCAGGTGGAGGAGGAGCAAATGCTGATCAACGAGATGAAGAAGATCGAGGCCCGTAAAAAGGAGCGCGAGCGCAAGACACAGGACCTGCAAAAGCTCATATCGCAGGCTGATCAGCAGAATGACAACGCCTCCAACACACCCAGCACTAGAAAGTACGAAAAGAAACTGCACAAGAAGAAGGTACACCACCAGCCGCGACCCTCTAAAGTGGATTCTGTGGTGAACGCTATAGAGATTGGCAGCAGCGGTATCAAGTTCGCCGACCTGCGCGGTTCCGGAGTTTCGCTGCGTTCGCAGAAAATGAAACTGCCGGCCAACATTGGCCAGCGCAAGGTGAAGGCCCTCGAGCAAGCCATCCAGGAGTTCAAAGTTGGTGAGTCGTAGCGTTAAGATATTCGAATGCTGTCGCTAATTGTCTTGTTCTTTGTAGATCCCGCTCCGCCGCCCACGGAGGACATATGCATCTCCTTTAACGAGCTGCGTTCCGATATGGTTTTGCTATGCGAGCTGCGCACTGCCCTGTCCACCTGCGTTTACGAGATGGAGAGCCTTAAACACCAGTACGAGGCTGCCTGTCCCGGCAAGGTAAGTCGCCAGACCAAAAAAATCGTTTTACAATAAAGGTGGTTAATTGGTCTTCCTCCAATCAATGCAGACTCTCAACATCCCGCCCTCACTGGTGCCCATCAAGACCGAAGCCCTGGACAATAGCACAAATTAATTAAGTTAACGCGGCCCGTTTCCACTCAGATTCTCCAAACGCCGAAGTGTGTGCGGCGTGCTAATCATTGTAACCCGTTTTTCACTGTCCATATTTGTGCATTTGCGCTACTCCCAGTCCGCATGGGGAAATAAATGGATAAACAAGAAAATTGTTTTGCGGCACACTCAATGTGAAAATCAAATAGCCCACGGCCAACGTTGGCCAAGCAGATGCCATGTCGAGTGTGAGAACTTTTTCCCAGTGGTTGATTTATTTTCCAGCTATCCATGCTCGCTTAGTGGCTAGTATTTGGGTTAGGCCAGGAGCAACAGCAGCAGAAGCGGCCGGTATGCGATCTTTGGCGAGCCGAAAAAGAGAATCGAGCCATGTTCAATTTGATGCCTGCCCACACAATTCTGATATAGATGCAGAGGCGAAGGCGGCAGCCCATTCATCGGACCAGTATTTGTGAATGAACTGACGACTGCGAAGGCAAACAAACAAACACACAACACCCAGACGAATCGAAACGAAGGCAGGCTGAAAAACGAGAATCGGAGAGGAAAACGCATATGAAATCATTCTGTTGGCGGCTCGACCTGCCTTGCCTGAGCGTAGGCCGCTCAGTCGAGTTTCAGACGTCGTGGGGTCCAGTTCGTGCCTGTTGATTGCGCATACAATTTCTGTGTTTCTGTGTTTCCCGCCTCACTGCCGCATGCAACTCGCAAGTACGTCTCTGTGAAAATGCAAATTTAACCAAATACTCGAGTGGTCGTCGTCGGTCGGTGGAATTGGACGCACAGCGCTACCTGGCCTCGTCATCATCCCTCCGAAACTCTGGGAATCCTGGCGGGGGGCACACAGCAAACAGTGCATCCGTTTCCGGTTCTTTCTGTTGATTGCTGTTACCTACATATACTTGCAGTCGCTGGTTTTTCATGAATGAAATTTAATTTCGTGTGAGTGCGCGAGTGTTTGTGTGAGCCGCAGGTCCAGTTTGAGCCCGAACTCCAGCGGTGTCAACTGTCGGCCCAGCAATCGCATTGTCGTCAGTGCACCGTAAAGATCTTTATCGCATTTTAAATACAAACGTTCTGGTGCAGAAGGCAAGACCCGGTCGTCATCGTCAGGTAGACGGAAACCAAACGTCGGGCCCGGCCAGGTTAATGCGGTTGATTGTTCTATGAGCGCTGGCACCGCTCTGTTTAAGTTTCGCACGCTGATAAAGAGGACCTCGCCCAGCCATCGAAATGTGGCCAAAGCTCAGGTGAGTTGTCTTTGGGTTAATTTGATGGCAAATATGTGAATATTTGTGTCGCTTCGAAGAGAAGACGCCCACCGCGTTTAATGCGATAGAAATCAGAATGGTTTTGTTATTCGCCATTTTCTACACTCTCTCCGCGGGTGTAGCAGAAATTAGCACCTTTTAATCTAATAATAGCGGCGGAATCGAAGGCAAACTAATCGTTGCCACTGCCCCGGGCTCATAATGAACTCGTATTAAAATTCGGAGTCATAATGATTTCAATCATCTCGAAGTCATTTAAGGCCGCCCAACGCATGGCACTTCCGTTGTGCGTGCCTCTCGAATTTCGTATAATTTCACGGGCTAATGTTTTCCCAATTCACCGACGAAAAGCCCACGCTTTTCGAGGGCTAGACGAGGGCCTCTGGAGCAGAGACAATCAAAGAAACCCACACACGGAGGCTCCACTGCCTATCCCGCTCAGTTTACGCGCAATTAGCGCTTTGTTGTTGCTTCTCCGACCTCTTCTAATTTCATATAACTCATCATTTTCACAGCGGGCAGGTTTGAATCTTCGGACTCAACTTACGGCGACAATGAAATAAGAAAAGAGAAAAAGACTTTTTATTTACATTTCATTTTCGAACGCCCACAATAACAATGAAAGCGGAGAAAAAGATTGCTCATAATTAATGTTTATATAATTTTTTACTGCTTTACATGCGGCTCATTAGCCGCCTGGCTTGGATTCCCATTCCCCCACTCGAATGTTTCTGTTCTTCTTGGCTTGTGACGGCAGGTTCGTTGCCTAAGTCTTTTGTTGTTCGTCAACCGTGGGCGTCTGCTTGATGCGGGACAACAACAAATATATATATATACGGCCAAGGAAAAGAGATAAAATAAGAGACATTTGTGCTACTTACTTGCCGCTGGCTGTTGCTCCACAACCAGTTGCCAAATTTGGCAATGGGAGCGCAACAACAGCTGCCTGCTGCCCACTTACTTTGTGTGCTCAAAGTGTGTCGCTGTCATCTGACGATCCAGTGAGCTTATGTTTTTGGGTTCCTCCATCGCCCCCCCACCCCCATCAAAGAGAAAAAGATGATGCTCCGCTGGCTGAGCAACTGACCAGGTCTAAGGGAACGGATCTTAGGATCCTAAGGTTTCTCTGGTTTCTTGCAGTGCATGCATAACTTATACAGCCATTCACTTAGCATACTCCTCCGCAGCATCCGAGCAATTTCTTGCCATACAACTTTGGTCTGTCTGGCATTTGCATTCGTGTGTGGGCAGCTAGCTCTTGGTGTGGGCTAGACCAAGATCTCTTGTGGTATCTATCTGCCAACTGATGTCGCATAATATGTTTAATTTAGTTTATTTTCAAGCCCATTTCCGTGCCGCACCACTTGGCTTTCTTCATGTTTAATATTTTCCCCCAAAATTTAATCGATTTTTCAAATCTGAGATTTCCATTTTATTGACTTTCTGTGGCTGTGTGTTTTGGACCGACTTGTCTCGGCTTTCAAAATGTCGCAATTAACAGTCGATTTAGCATTATGCACATGCGTTGGCGGCCTCCTCGTGTCTCAACTGGCTTTCTGAGTTTTGCGTGGGCAGTGAACTTGGTTTTAAGGTTTATTGTTTGCACTGATGTGGAGGTGTTCGGGGAGGATGTGGAGGGATATTAAGGAAGCCCACGTTTTTGGGTGGCAGACTGCTCTGGGTGGGGCTGTCGGTATTAAAAAAGGAAATTACTATTAAAAGAAATAAAATTTATTGCTCCATTAAACCAGTTTTATTTTTTATAGAAAGCCTAATAACGAAGATGCAATATTGCTAATTTTATTTTATCACAATATTTTAAGATTCCTTAATAAAAAAACATATTAAATCTGAAAAAAATTTATTGCAGTTACATAAATAGACCCAATACATTTAATTGGTCTAAGCTGATTTATTATCCAATTCTTACTTTTGTAATATGTCAATTTAGTGCTTTACTTGAAAGAAAAAAAATTTTGAGCCTAATTATTTCTTCCTGTCTTCGGGTGAAGTCTCATTTCGCCAGTACATTACTTTTGATGTTATTATTTATTATATAGTTTGCCGGTCGTTATGTTCCACGTTAAGAATATATAAATACTTTTATAAGCATTAAATAAACGACCCAAAGGCAAGTGAAAAGAGCTGCAGGAGCGACTGGACCTGAACCCAAATAATGTTCATAAATTCCGAGCTCAAATTGCTTTTAGTTGTTCGCAGCGGCTGCCGTCGGCCATATTCATATGCAAATGGCATACAAAAAAAGGCACACTTGGACTTAAAATCGTTTTGGGATCGAAGGCAACGAAAAATCCAATTTAATTTAAAATAAACACAGCCTGGTCCAAGTTCATTCATGTTCATGTTCAGCCAGACGCTGAGGCCCATAAAGTGCAAGATTTGGTAAATAAAATAAAAATGCAAGCGAACAAAACCCGGCTTAAGCCATTCCGTCGAATGGTTTGTTTACCTTGCCCCAGGGAAATCGCTCCGAATCGGATCGGATCAGCCAACTGTTCTTCCCTCGTCCGCATACTACTTACTTTATTTTGTTTTATTGTTGGCTTATATTGGCCTCATCCGATCCAACAAAAGAAACCACCAGAGACGGGGTTCGACTTGCAGCGATTGCTGTCACTTATTGGTTACTTTTCTTGCGATTTGGTTAATTGTTCGAGTGTCGGTACTTGGCCGAGCAGCTGCCCACGTGTGTGTTCAATTGAAAAGTAATTTGCCCAGCACAACAAAGGCGAAAACAGCAAAAAACAAGAAAGGAAAGCTAACTTCGGGCGGAGCCGAAGTTGAAATACCCTTGCAGAATATTCTGCAAATTATGTTCTCCAAAATAATTCATATGATGCATTCTTAATACTCATAAAAAATCCCAACTTCCTAACTTTAAAAACACCAAAGTTATGGCATTTCCGATCAATCAGTTATATGGCAGCTATAAAATATAGTCGTCCGATCCTTATGAAATTTGGTAGGTCGGATTAATTGGCCAAATATATAACCCATAGAAAATCCCAACTTCCTAACTTAACAAACACCAAAGTTATGGCATTTCCGATCAATCAGTTATATAGCAGCTATAAGATATAGTCGGCCGATCCTTATGAAATTTGGTACGTCGGATTGATTGGCCAAATATAATACCCATAGAGAGTCCCAACTTCCTAACTTAACAAACAGCAGAGTTATGGCATTTCCGATCAATCAGTTATATGGCAGCTATAGGATATAGTCGGCCGATCCCGGCCGTTCCGACTTATATACTGCGTGCAAAGGAAAGAAGGGTGGGTGCAAAGTTTCAATTCGATATCTTCAAAACTGAGAGACTAGTTCGCGTAGAAACAGACAGACGGACAGACAGACGGACAGACGGACAGACGGACAGACGGACAGACGGACAGACGGACAGACGGACAGACGGACATGGCTATATCAACTCAGGAGGTGATCCTGATCAAGAATATATATACTTTATAGGGTCGGAGATGTCTCCTTCACTGCGTTGCACACTTTTGACCAAAATTATAATACCCTCTGCAAGGGTATAATAAACAACCTAAACGAAAACCAAAGCGTTGCGAAGCAGAGACGACAGCCAGCCACCCACACGTTTCCGCTGACTTGTCGTCGGCCCACTCTTAAAAATAATACTCACTAATTTTATTTCTCGGATTTGTTGCTGTTGCCCCTCTGTTTTTTGTCGTTTACAGCCGAAACAAGTTTGTCAGACCTGTGATTTGCAGTTCGCTTTGACAATATTACCAGCTATTTGAAAATAGCAGGGAACCCACATTGAGACAGATGTTGCCGAAAGAAAAACTACATTTTAAGGCATTTTAGTTTCATTCTTTGTTAGCTTAATCTTAAATGTTTTTGGATAAATATTTTAATAGCATACAACATTTACGGAACTTAGTCATAGATGCCTATTTAATATTTATTTGGTTAGTTTCAATAACATCCAGAAAATTGGTTCATAATATGAACTTCATATACTAAAAATATTTCACAAATTTAAGCTTTAAATAAAACAAATTTTAAAGCAACTAACAATTAGCATTTTTTTTTTGAAAACTGAGGTAAGCATTCAATTACAGATAAATAAATCCTATTTAATAATTGACAGCATAAGATTAAAAGCCGACAGTTTTTGTCACCGTTTAAAATGGGTCTCATACCGACCAAAATTGAAAAGCTTGGTAAAAAATCGTTGTATACCTACTATGTACCTTAAATCATATTTGTGGATGGAAATATAATATTTACGATCCTTGTCCGAAGGCCAGCATCCGTTTCCGTCTTAGCAGAGAGACGATTAAATGAGTCCAGTCATTCACGCATTCGAATTCCCAAAGATCAAAAGGGGAAGGGGACCAGGATAGGCATCACAATTAAATCCCTTTGGCCGGCTTCTCCACACAATTTGTGTTTTCTGTTTCCTGTCCCCCTTTTCTACTCATTTTTCTCCTTTTCGGCATGCTAAATACCCAGGCAGACAACAATGGTTGATGTTGGTGTGGCTACTTCAGTTTCGAAAGCAGCTGTTTCGGTTTCCACTTTTTATATAGTTTTTTTTCGTTTGTATGCCGCACGTCTGTGGTTGCCACTTTGCGTGACATTTCGACCTTTGGCTGGCTTTTGCAGCAACTTTTACTATATTCATGCTAGGCATAAATTTCATTTGCCACACACACATGTTCCCCATTTCGATGCGCTTTCAACACTCGAACAATGCCCCAGCAGGTTGATATTCAATGGCCGAACCAAACCAAACCAAAATAAAATAAAATAAAATAGCAAATTACTAATTTCGCCTTTGGCCTATGCAACATGTTGCTGTCATTATGATTAGCTACATGTTGCCTAATTTGCTCGCTGGCGTAGTTGCTGCTGTTTTTTTTGTAGTTCGTTTGCGGTTAAAGTGCCTAAAAAATATATACAATTTCTTACGAATAAATAATTAGGCAACCCAACTGCAGCTGACGTCGAAATTGCACTCCTCCATTGCTGCACAGAAAAAAGCCAGGTGCTATATTTAGTATCTACATTATTTTTAATTCAATCTTTTTTTTTGGTTTTTAAAACCGAATTATTCAATTGGATATCAGATATAAATGATAATACAAATTAATAAAATTAATTTTAATAGAGCTGTACTAAATTACCTCACTTTAAGAGCAACTACCATTCGTTATTTCCCCATCCACCATTACTTGCTATCTTTTTTTCGAGTTTTTCAATTATTGCCAAAGAAGGCAAGCTAACAAAAAACGCGTTTTTAATTGTTCGGTGGCTTATCGCATGTTTTGGCCTTTTTGGGAGCTCAAAAATGTTAAGCAAAGGTGAGAGGAATAAAGACAAGAAACTAAATAATAACACATTATGTTGGCTTGTGTGCCAGTTAAGCCTTAAATTATGTGCAAAATAAATAAGAATCGTTTTTTAACGATTTGTTGTTAAGAAATGATTGAAATTTCCAATCAGTTTCAAAGTTTTGTGGCAAGGTTTCAGAGCAGAGTCAGCTGCAAGATACACACTCACACCCATTTTGCGGCGTCATTATCATATCGTGTATCTCTTGATCTTCATGCAGCATCATCATCATCAGGCGGCACACTCGTTCCGTTCCGAAGAAAACGTTGCAATGCCGTTACCAACGCAATCCATTTCCAACCATTTGGCCGTGCTTACACCCATAAACCATACCATCGCATATGTATACCAGAGGGTTTATTTCCGTTGACGTGCCTTAATTTTAGCCCGTTTGGGACTGGCTCTTGCCGCATTTCTGCTGTTCCTGGTGTTTGGCTCTCGGTCTCCGCTCTGATGATGATAATGGCTGTGCCGATGACGATGGCGCTATGAACAGAGCGCCTACACAGAAACCAGGGTAAATTTCGAGACCTCAGAAGTGGATTTCTTACCTAGGATAGGGTTTGGAAATACTCTAGGCTTAGGATCCCCCAAAAGACATATACATAATTTCTTATAAACATATATATCTAAATCGATAAAAACAAAACTAAATAATTAACACATATACGAATGATTTAAGCTGCTGCCACAAGCTAAGAGTTCTTTCTCATATAACTATTTATTTTAACAAGTTAGAATAGTTATTGAAAGTACATATTTTAAAAATGGCAAAGTAAAAGTTTGTAAGGAGTAACATTAAACAACCAATTAAATATCAAGGACTGATGGGACTCGGAACAAGATAATCCAATTAATAATTAATACTTTGTGCCCCACTGACTTCAATAAATTCCAACATTTAAAAGTTAAAATTGCCAAGAAATACTTTTAGGTGACATTTCAGTACAACAATACGATTTTTAAATAAAAGAAAGAGCATTAAAAATTCGCCTCCAGATCGACTTTTTCGATTCCGATGTGTGGGAGCTCGCAGCTCTGGGCCCAGATGAATAATCAACCCGAACTGGCGTCTCCAGTCTGCGCGCACACAAAAAGGTGATGGCGACGACTGCTTTTGGTTTTCTTTTGGCTTCAGAAGAGCCCAACTGGTTGTGGTGGCTTGATTAGCGAGTCCGTGCTAAGTCTGAGGCCAAACAGACGCCGAAGAGGCAGCTAGTTGGCGGATGGATGTGTTTTGATTGAGTGCAGTGCCCAACGATCCTGATCCTGCTGAGTCAGCGGCGACAGGTCAGCAATGGGATCCAGTTCTGGGAGGTTGGAAGTGTGGGGCGTGGCATTTTATGCATAATTAGCCACACTGGGGACGGGGCCCGAAACCAAAGAATCGGACGGGGGACAGCGGAAATTAAAGGCACTCAAACGTTTCGAATCGTTGACCAGTTAGCGTGACAGAGGTGGAGTTGAGCTGAGCTGCATTTTAAAATATTTTTATTGTTGAGGATGTTGCCGGTGTGTACGCAATGGTCAACACAACACTTGTCTTTATGTTGCTGCACAGAAAAAAATATTTATAACATGAATGATTAAATTAAAATGATTTTGGAAAACCGAAACAAGGTCTGATATACTGATACATTTGGAAATGCTAATGACAAAACACCAGTACAATCATTGGCAACCTATTTTGTAGATTGCCTTTGCTTATATTACGTTTTGGGTTCAAGATCAGACATTATAAAGGATAAACAAAATACTTTAAAAAGTGAAAGTAAAACCAAATTTGAATTTTCAAAATGTTTCGACTCAGTTTTTGCACCTTAAACGTTTGCTAGTTTTCTTTGTCACGAAAACGACAAGCAACAATTAAATTTTGTTAACTAATCATTGAGCCAAATTAAATTAAATTAATTTATTAATTTATTGCCCATTTAAAAGACGTTAAAATTATCCTTATAATTTTTCCGTGTGTGTGGATGTACCGTCAAAACTCAGATTTATTTTGACCACGTACATATGCAAAACGCATTCTAATGGAACCGGCCAGCCAGTGTTTCCTCTGGCCACGTTTGGCCATTGTAGTTGGCAGTTACGCTCTGATTTTTGAGCCTCCACCTGTTATTGTTTGCCTTTGGCTTTGCACGCTTCCCTGATGCCCTGCGGTGCGTCCGCTCACAATTGTTGCCCAGAAACGGAAACGCCGCCTTTTGTTGGGCGGAAATGCAAAATGATATTGTTCGCCGGGCACTAACAAGAACCTTAGCACGCCACTCGCTGATTTGATTGGCTCTGAATGGGTCTCGGGTTGCAGCGTGTTGCACTGCAGCTCAGCTGTGTTTGCTATATCAATTACCCCCAGTCGCAGATGTCGAGATGTCATTGGAAAGTGGCATCAAGATCCCAACGCCCAAACAAAGTGCCAGGCCGCCCACTTGGAAGCCCTCAGTCTCCGATTTGCACTCTCTGTGTGGGCATCCCACAAATTCAGATCCGAACAAGCAATTATGCAAAGCATTCACATGTGTATATGCATCTTTTAAGCTAGGTGTTCAAGTAGTACATAGGAATAGGTGATCAGCCGGGGAGGAAACCGCGAGTTGACCGCAGTGGCGACAAGCTGCGCAGGTTGCAGACCACGCGGAGATTGGGCAGGTTCTGGGGATTGCGGCAGAAGCGGTCCCAGCCCTTCCAGTACTTGAAGCCCTCGCGTTCCTGGATCATTTTGGCACAGGCAATATCATCGCCAATGTCGTCATTGGAGAAGTCTGTCAAAAAATGAGGAATGGAGAAAATGTTAAAAAAGTTTATGGCTTAACGAAAAATTAATGTAGCTTCAGAAAACACAAATTCATGTACCCTTGCACTTATAAAAATAATTGATTGTCTGATTATTGAATATTTTAATCAACATTATAAAATTAAAAATAACCAATTATTTTTTGTAGGTAATAAAGTTGAAATATTTGATTTAATTTAATGATCATTCAAATAACCAGTTTTCATTTATTTAATCCGGTAACGTACGTCTTCAAAAATCATATATATAATATTAATATTATATAATATTAACGAATAAATACAAGTAAATTATTTGCTTTTCTACCATCTATTATTATAATTTATTGTAAAAAGTCAAAAAAAAAAACTTATTAATAATTTCATCGCACTACATGAAAAAATATCAAATTTAAAGTTATTGATTCTTATCAACATTTAGATTAAAGGAATAAAACATAAATTGAAATAAAAGTATGGCTTAATTTAGGGTGACTATTATTATTATTTTAGGTGACAACAAAGCCTCGGTAGTTTTTAATTTTTTGGTTACTGTTTTATACATGAGCGTTGTTTTATCTGTTTCTCTCACGCTTAGACAGACAATAAATTTTATTTGTTATAAATGGGACTACTTCGAGTACTTGGTTCTCCAAATAATGCAGTGTTTATAATTGCAATAATGTTTTAAGACTAACCTACACATTTAAATATTAATTTGTTTGAATATTAGAATGCTATATAATGATAGTTTTATATTTATAGTATTTATAATTGCTATTTTGGAATATAGAAGTACTTTCATCTCACCTTCGCATTTCATATTGCACTGCCCGCCTTTTCGTCCCTCCGTGCAGTAATCCCTGCTGTTGATCTGGAAGAGACCGTAGTTCTTGCTTTCGTTTTCCTTTCTAGTTATTTTCCTGGTGTCCAGGTAACTCTCGTGCTCCACCAGACAGATCCCTACCGCAATTCCATTAGTTAAAAAATGTTTGCCTTGATTTGCAAATAACTTACAGTTGGAGATGAAAGTCTTGTCGAAGTTGTAGTTCTCCACCAGTACTCGGGTGAGTTCGCATCGCTGATATTTCTTGGATTCCACTTCCTTTGATCCCAACAGCAACAGGATCAGCACTGGTGCCAGCCACAGACAAAGAGTTTTCATTTTCAGCAGACCTGAATGAAAAAGACCCATTCCGTGGATTAAAGTGCATTGGGCAAAGGTGGTTTTGCATTGTCTATGGACTTACTTAACCATTAACCCAAACAGTTCAGACAGTTCTGCTGTGCGCATAATTCCCTGTTTTTCCTTATATACAAGCTATAACACCTGATATACGCTTGATTAATAGAATCTATATTATTTTGTTTGGTTATTTCTTAAACGAACTTTGAAAGTGTTAAAATACCTCTGGACAGTTTCACAGTTTTTTGGCTTTTCACAGTTTCCCATGACATTTCTTCTTTTTTAACACCAAACAAGAACCCCTCAATTCTGGCTAATGATGAACTCACTAACGAATTACCATTATTTATGCCTTTATGTACACCCACACGTTTTCGTGGCCTTGGATAAGTCTTGTTTTTGCATCTTTGTATATGTTTATCACCGTATATATCAGTTATCGCTTCTAAAAAGATATCTATCATGGCATGAGCCTGTCTGCGTAAGATGGATATATAGAGATTATACTTATCTAAGTACTCGAAAGTCCAACCATGTATATTCTGTATTAAAATTTGTTTCGATAAGCTTTCCAGTTATTATTGTTGCTTGCATCTCCTTCTCACGGTTTAATTGTATTACTAGTATGGTTATAATTTATTATTTATATGCAAAAACACTCGCAAGGGGGTTATTTACTCAGTAGTTAAATTGTTAACCATTTTATTAAGAGCCATTCTACAAATCAACACATTTTTTCGCAAAATCTGTTTTAGTTATGTTGTTTCACTTTTAGTAGTTTAAATAATAAAGGTGAGGCTTTCACAGATTTAAGCTTGAACAATGGATATGTCATTAAAATATTGTATTCAAGTTGAGTTAAACGCTAAGTTGATTACGTGTAATTCAGGGCTTTAAAACAGTTGAATTTATATATTTGCTAGCCATATTTGTTTAAACTTGTTTTTGTATATAGTTTTTATGCGATCTATCTACCAACAATTAAACTTTTCAAGGTTGGCGAATCGTAAGTAACCAACCAAAAAAAACAAATTCGTTTTGAGGCTTATTCTTAATAGTTCATTAAGTATACGCATGTACACGTTTCACTTTTTTTACGAAATTTGCATGCAAGCGAATGTAATAATGAGATTGAGTTACTTCCTCTGGCAGAACACTTTTACTTGAGCAAATTGTTTGTTTACTTTGTTTACCTAATTAACGCAGAACAACAGCGATCTCGGCAACAGGAAACGAGTTTGTCGAGGGGAGTACGAGTACGAGTATCTGTGCCTACGAACCGCCGTGCGCGAGTATCTGTATCTTCTTACCGCGTTCCGTGGGTTTCGTTTTGCGATGGCGTGCTTTCAAATACATATGATTTGCACACCCGATCGGATCCGATGAGAAGCTAGCCCGCCGGTGCGACGCAGCTGACCCGAGTTTAAGTACTGAACGCCCAAGTATTTCTCAGATACAATTGCGCCTCTATTTTCGACTCGGTCGAGGTAACTCTCTCCCAAAACGCCGATCGCAGAGCAGACGGCATACGAATTTGCTCGGCGGGCTGATAAAGCTGATAAGACCCGCTGCCACGGTTGACTTACCACCTGAACTCTCTGACAAATCAGATGATTTAGGGTGATTCAGGGAGGGAGGAGATTCCCCGATTTCGGGTGGCTCTGTTCTGGGGCTTGTAATTCTCAAAACTTTCGTAATAGTTGTGAAACGAAGTATTTTTAGTTATCAATCAAACCAGCTTGAGTTCAATGATCCAATTACTGGTCTTTATTTACTTTAAAGGAATTTCAGAGAAAGCAGAGTGTCGCAGAAATCTCTAAAGATAGTGAATATGTTTTAGTTAGCAACAATACAAATTTTTTTTCTTTTCGTGTGCTTAATATCAAATCTAATTTTATATTTGTTTAGAGATTATTAAAGCAAGCGAACGTTATTTATAAGAATTTGAGTAAAATATAAAAATTAAGATATACAATTAATCTAAAAAACGTTGTCCTAACAATTTGTCAATAAAAAGTCTTACCATAGTAAAACTCCAATTTTATGTTTTCATGGAAATTTGTTCAATAAAATTTCTGAGTCACTTTAAAAACGTATATTCTGTACGATATTTTCGGATGGTCAAAGGTGAATGATTAAGACCAGGAAAAACACCGGCTTTGCGATAGCATCTCGCTTGAAGCTGATAGCGGGAAATACCTGGAAATGATTTAATCTTGCAGCCCAGAAAATAAATACACTTTCTTCAGACATAATGACTTAAGCTTTATGTGATTTAGTAACTATGCATAGAGTTAGTTAAGGCTAAGAGCGAGTCGAAGAGCAGTCCTAGCAGCGCGAGACGTCGGGCAGCGTGCGCCCACGACATTTGCTCATCCATCCGGGCCAGGCCTGGAATCCGTGGCGGTTGAAGATCTGCATGGCGCAGCGTGAGTCATCCGAGATCTCATCATTCAGGAACTCTGCAATGGAAAGGTTTTTCTATCTACCTGGCTTTTTCGTGGGCGTTCGGGGAATGTGGACTCACCTTCGCATTTGATGTTGCAGATGCCACCGCGACGCCCTTTGCGACACCAGTTTTTGCTGTTGATCTGTGGATTTGCGGATTAGCGGATTAGCGTTTAGCGGTCAAAAAAATAGTATATAAGTATCTTGGGCTAACCCACCTGAAAGAGCCCATAGCTGACGCTTTGGTTGGGCAGTTGCATAGATTTGGATGTACTGCGACCGCTCTCCGCTTCCACCAGACAAACCCCTGCATAGAAGGGGTCAGATATTTAACTTAGGTTTTAGAGCTCATTTTATGTTTTTGTTTTATTCCAAATTTGTATCTTTTTGTCATTAGAAACAATATAAAAAAGTATTTGCTAATGACAAAATGCAATTCAGAGAATTGGGTATTTAAGTATTTTGAATCTAGTAAAACTTTTAAGTTTTACGCTTTAATAACTTTTACAGAATGTTCAAAAACATTTACCAAAAATGCAGTCTCAAACTAAAATGCTAGATTAACATTTTATCAAAACATACTTGTTTTTAATTACAAAATGCATACACTTTACTACAAATAAATTTGTTGTTTGGTATACTGTATTTTTGCACACTTGTAGCTTTGAAATATTCTTTTATTCCGTAAAACCGTTTCTCTAAAATGTTTTGTAATTCCTTCATAAATGTTTTGGATGTTTCACTATACTCACAATTGGACAGGTAACTGCGGGGAAAGTCGTGGCGCAACAGCTCCTTGGCCAACTGGCAACGGGTCAGCAGCTTGGACTCGGTCTCCCATTGCGAAAGCAGGAGAAGATTGAGCACCAGGACGAGGGCACCTCCTTTGGGCAAGTGACTGGCCATGTTGGGTGACAGAGGAATGTGGGTGATGTGCTGGGACCACTGCTAATCCTTTGGGCTGGACAGATTCTAGAGCGCTTCCCTCCGCGGCAACTGCGAGTACTGGTACTGGGCACTTTGCTGCGGAATTATTTCTACGGCACTGGATGTGTAGCGCCCGAAATCTGGGTTTTTAAAGCCTCGCACGCAGTTTTTGTTTTCTTCTGAAAGTGGGAGGCGGCACTCGGGAGTGATCTGGTGACATGGAAAAATGTGCGGGTTACTCGGCAGTGTGGGTAACTCTTAAAAAACAAACAATATATTTTAAGACACTATTTAAGAATTATTTTTGGACGTCCCAGAGGAATCTGGCTACTTAATTACCTAAAAAAGGATAACCATAATTTTCAAATATACCTAGGCTAAAATACAAGCCCCCAGATTATCTCGCAGTGCATTCAATAAATCGCTTTGATTGCGTTAAGCTCTAAATTGGCAAATTGTCTTGCAGAGATAACAATGGGAATCTTTAGCCCGAAACGCATCCACTGGATACAGATGCACTGCGTGGGTGTTTGTGTGTCAGAGTGTCAGTGACAACTGCGGCTTGACCTAAAAACGCACGATCTGATGATGTGCGAGGAGTGCATCCCGCCCAGCGTCCAAGTGTTTTCGCTTTTCAATGCTTGCCCGACTAATTTCCATGAAAATTTTTCCATTTGCAGCCCACTTCTCATGCTCTCGCTGCTGTCCGCCCTGGCAGCGGCCAATGACCTCAAGGATCTGCTAGAGGACAGCACCACGACGACCAGCACCACCACACCATCACTTTCCCCATTGCCGTCGCCACCGCCAACCACGCCCACCGCCTATGTGGTGTCCGCTGCCGCAGTTCCCGCCCTCGTCTCCGGCAGAGGAAAGTCCAAGTCCTCATCCGGAAAGTACGTCAACAAGAGCTCTCCCAGGAAGCGCAAGGCGGAGCAGGTGTCCTCGCTGCCGCTGCCCGTGGACGATGGACTCATGGAGTGGAAGTGCCCCAACATCACGGGCACGCGAAACGCGGAACTCGAGTGCGGGTGCGACCTGCCCCACACACTACGGTGCAACATTGATCTGCACGGGATGCTGGTAAGGCCAACTAATTCTTCTTTTAGAAAATTAAAAATTCCAAAAGTCTAAATTAAATCATTTAACATCTGTACAATATATGCCGTCAAGAGTAGAGGATAACAAATTTCAAGAATCCAATTCTGACAAATGCCCATTTGTTTGCTTCTTACATTGCAAATCAGCCAAAATAATTGTTAATGAAAAATATATTTCATTTGGTATTCAAGTTTTTCCAAGCTTTGACCCCGACGTGATTTGAACACGCAACCTTCTGATCTGGAGTCAGACGCGCTACCGTTGCGCCACGGAGTCATTTTGAGATTGCATTGCCTATCTAAGCTTTTTAGTTAGTAAACTTCAAGAATAAATCAAATATAAATCTATATTTCTAAAAGTAGTGATAAGATAGGTGCATTTAGTTTTGTGCGTTTATCACTTACCCGTTCTATCTCATAAATAAATACAATAAAAATCTTTTGGCTAGGACTAATGTTATCCAAAGACTACGGAAATCATTATTATACAAAGAAGGCATCTAACTACAAAGCAACATTTCTTAATCAGCATTAACAGCCTGGCTTTAACCGTCTGTGAACCTTTTTACCAGATTAAGTATTATGCAAACTGATTAAGAAAATAAATAATTAGAATATGAATTTTCATTCCCAATATTCCACTTACTAGAGTGATTGTCATTAAGAGAGTTAAATTATATCGAAACAAAATAAATATAAAAATGACATTACCAACCATCAAAAATGAATTAAAATAACAACCTTTGACCCCGACGTGATTTGAACACGCAACCTTCTGATCTGGAGTCAGACGCGCTACCGTTGCGCCACGGAGTCTTTTTTTAAAGGATTTCTTATTTGAGTTATTTAATAAGTAAACTTTAAGCTTAAATCAAATTTAATATTGATTAGATATTGTAATTTATGAGGTTTAGTTAGAGGAAAAATGGTCAAAACATTCCTAAAAACTTATCATAACATAAATTCAAATGTTATTAATTTAATTTTATTTTCTTCAGATTTTGGCGGACAGGTTACGCACCTCTCCGTACTCAATCTCATTGCTGGACTGTTCCTTGCGCAACGTGACCTTCCTGAGCGACGCCAAGATCTTCGATGGAGTCTCCCTGCATGGATTAGTGATCTCATCAGGCGAGATTAAGCGGGTGCACAAGTCCGCTTTCCTGGGAATCCGTGGGCCTCTGCAGGCACTCGGCCTGCCCGGAAACGCCCTGATGAGCGTGCCGTGGAACGCCTTGTCTACATTGGGCGCCTTGGAGCGTCTGGACCTGGCCAATAACAAGATCAAGGCCCTGGGCACCGCCGACTTTGTGGGTTTGACCAGTCTGGTTTACCTGGAGCTGAGCAACAACCAGATCTCGAGCATTTCCCAGCGCACGTTTGGCAATCTCCGAAAGCTGGAGGTGCTGAAGCTTGGCGGCAATAGGTTGGGTGACTATGCCCAGAGCTTGCGGTCGCTGAGCCAGTGCCTCAGTTTGCGGCAGCTGGATCTGCAGGCCAACAACTTGAATGGACCGCTGAGTGAGCAAACGCTCCCGGGGTTGAGAAACCTTGAAAGCTTGAATCTCAATCGAAATCTGATTAAGAGCATCCAGAACAAGGCCTTGGCCAACTTCTCGCGGCTGGTGAGTCTCTCACTGCGCCACAACCAGATCGATGTCCTGCAGGATCACGCCTTCTTCGGTTTAGGAGCCCTGGACAGCCTGGATCTGAGCTACAACGGCATCGTGGCCATCTCCAGTTCCTCACTGCAGCATCTGTCCCGTTTGACCGTACTGGATCTCACCCACAACTTCCTGCGAGCACTGACCTCGGACTTGATAGCACCGCTACCATCTCTAAGGGAGTTACGGCTGGCGGGCAACGACATCTCCATTGTGGCCCGAAATGCCATGGACGGAGCTCGGGAGCTGGAGAGTCTGCAGATGCAGGACAATCCTCTGTCGTGCGACTGCAGCATCCGGCCCTTCGCCGAGTGGCTGCAGGAGTCCCAGCTCCATTCCAGCCTGAGTGCCTCCTGTGTGACGCCGCCAAGGCTGGAGGGAGCTCCCCTTCTCCAGGTTCCTGTGGAGACACTCAGCTGCGATATGGACAACGTGGAGAAGGATAATGCCAACATCATGCAGCACCTGGAGACACTGGCTAAACCGAATCAAACGTCGCCCATCAAGGATCTCTCTGAGGAGGTGAGCTATATTTATATTAATGCTGGACATCTAAAATAGGATAGCTTTTATATCTTTTCATTCTAATTATTAAATCTTTTAATATTGGTAACTAACACTCACCAAAAAGTTTTCTTATCACAAGTTCAGCATTATTTTATTCGTATAAAAAGTGTTTTTGCACTTTGGACAAGCCTTATCTAAAGACTCATACAAGTTTAAACAAATTTCAAAGCTAATTTCCCGACTTTTGCGATACCAAAATCTATTTTCTGTTCACTAATCGAGATATGTACATTGCCTTGGTATTTATTATGCGATTTTCGTAATGATAAAGCAGCATTAGGTTAATATTCTTCATTGTTTTAAAAAGAAACAACGCCCTACAGACATTATAAAACATACAATGGGTAATTACAGACATACAGACTAAAAACAAAACTTTCATCCCACAGATTATTTTACATGAGCTGCACTTTTCGGCGGACTATGGCCTGATCCTGACCTGGCTCTTAAATCTTAGCAAGAAGGATTATATGTGCGACGCAATCTTTGTCTACAAGGAGGAGCACATAAATGAGATTCTTATAGACAATTCTCCGGTAATAAGAGTTAATAATAAAACAAGAAAGGAAAGCTAACTTCGGGCGGAGCCGAAGTTGATATACCCTTGCAGAATACTCTGTAAATTATATTCTCCAAAATTATTCATATGATGCATTCTTAATACTCATAAAAAATCCCAACTTCCTAACTTTAAAAACACCAAAGTTATGACATTTCCAATCGTTCAGTTATATGGCAGCTATAGGATATAATCGGCCGATCCTTATGAAATTTGGTAGGTTGGCTGGCCAAATATAACACCCATAGAAAATGCCGACTTCCTAACTTTACAAACACCAAAGTTATGGCATTTCCGATCAATCAGTTATATGGCAGCTATAGGATATAGTCGGCCGATCCTTATGAAATTCGGCATGTCGGATTGATTAGCCAAATATAAAACCCATAGAAAATCCCAACATTCTAACTTTACAAACACCAAAGTTATGGCATTTCCGATCAATCAGTTATATGGAAGCTATAGGATATAGTCGGCCGATCCTTATGAAATTCGGCATGTCGGATTGATTAGCCAAATACAAAACCCATAGAAAATCCCAACTTCCTAACTTTACAAACACCAAAGTTATGGCATTTCCGATCGTTCAGTTGTATGGCAGCTATAGGATATAGTCGGCCGATCCCGGCCGTTCCGACTTATATACTGCGTGCAAAGGAAAGAAGGGTGTGTGCAAAGTTTCAATTCGATATCTTTAAAACTGAGAGACTAGTTCGCGTAGAAACAGACAGACGGACAGACAGACGGACAGACGGACAGACGGACAGACGGACAGACGGACAGACGGACAGACGGACAGACGGACAGACGGACATGGCTATATCAACTCAGGAGGTGATCCTGATCAAGAATATATATACTTTATAGGGTCGGAGATGTCTCCTTCACTGCGTTGCACACTTTTGACCAAAATTATAATACCCTCTGCAAGGGTATAAAAAGTGTGTACCTTTAAATGACTCCTCAATTATTATTCCTTACAGATCCATTGCGAGAGCAAAGTGGTCAATGGTCAAAACACAGTCAGTGTTATCGTGCCAGATAGTTCTTCCTTGGAAATAGGCGAGAGGTGAGGTTACCACCATTCGTATAACTGATCAAATAACTATTTTTGACCATACTCCTTACAGCTATCGCTTTTGTCTGGTCATGATCCAGGAGAAGAATCCCACGGCGGAACTGAACATCGGCTGCTCCAATATCACCCAGCTGGAAAGGAGCAGTCCTGGTGCCATCCCCGTATCTCGTCAGTACCAGCGACGTCCCTACTACACCGCCGAGCTGAAACCGGAGGTGGTCCACGAAGCTGGGGAGGATTACCAGCTGAATCAGCGCCGCTTTAATCCGGTGCTCGGAAGTCAGCCGCAACAAACGCAGCAATCGAATCTGCTGCACAGTTACACGGTCATAGATTCGCTGAACAAGAGTTTCTTGCCGGGATTGGGCCTCGGAGTGCTGGTCACCTCCGTGCTGGTCCTGATCTGGGGAGCCACGCGGATCCGGCAGACGGGCGCCAGCAATTGCAATGGAGGCGGTGGCCGGAACAGCGATAGTATTGGCAGCAACAGCAGCAGCATGCACAACAATAACAACAACAGCAGACCGGGCACTCCGACGGCCACCACCTGCTACGCCGCCTCGGATCACATAGCCCGCCTGGCGGATGCGGAGAATGGGACGCGCTACCTCAAGCTGCAGGCCACGACGAGTCTGTGAGGCGGCAGAAGCAACCAGTAGCAGAAGCAGCAGGATGTTGCTGCTGCCCACTCAATAAACCTTGTGATAGTACAGTGCCGACTGTACCGACTTGAGTAGTTGATAGCGATATACATACGTAGCCTTAAGGTCCACTGCACTAATCCAAATAGTTGGCCCACACTAACCCACTTGTGCCATAAGCTAATCGATACGTATCCCGAAACTCCTATATATCAAAAGAATATATACAGCTGGGGTCAAAAGAATAGAAAAAGATATACCTTCCGAAATTTAGCAAGCTCTCAAAGCCTATGTAAATTAAACCTAAAACACCTAGTAGAGTAAAAAATAATTGCATCATTTTTGAACTTATTAAATTATCGACCACGACCAATCTAAGACTATATAGTTTTGTTGTAAAATAATGAATAATTAGGGGAACCAAATATTCACATTCCTGTTATAAATTAAAAAATAAAAAATTATTCAAATTTCAAATTGTTCATTTTAATCATCACTAATTTAGCAAAGTAAATCCATCTAGGGTTTTACAAATTATTTTGTCTTCTATACGCAAATATTTCCTGATGTTTATCTACTAAGTAAATTGATTGAAATAAAAAGGTCTTTCAGTAATGCGTTCTTTTGACCTATCCTGTAACCATTTCCCTAAATGGAGACTTTTTCGGTCTCATCCAGAACTAGTGTTAACTTAGTCTATGTCCTGCCCCTTTAGAATAAAGGCTTTAATAATTTATTAACCAATTCCAAGCACACAATAGAAAAGAGAAACATAACATGAAGTAAATAAGAGTGAAAAGAAAAATAAAAGCCAATTGCAATCGAATAAAAGTTTCTAAGGTCAGTTGGGCGATTTTACGGGGTCTATTTTCGGTCAGGTTACATCCGAAAGGCCGCATAATGCTAAGTGGGCTATTAACCTTACAACTATGACGTCGCACGAACATATGCGTAGTGGAGCGCCGTCCAGCGAATTAGTTAATTTCAATGGAAATGAGCTCATAGCCGGTCACATCCCACGCTCCCAAAGGAGAAGAGTAACTCCACATATGCACATGCCCATACAGGGTACTCCATTTGGGTCCTTATCATTCATTGGTTAATTTATGGACATACTGGGAATTCTTTCCAGTTATCCAGAAATCAAAGTTGACAAGCATTGAGCTGGACTGTGAAACCCCCTCCGCCACCACTCCTGGCACCACCCACTTGTTTCAGCCGCGTTTCTGTTGTGGCCATCTGCTGATATGGCGACGGTCCCTCGGCAGCGCGGTTCCGACTTTCAGGCTGGCTGGCTAGTTGGGTCAGTTGTTCCGTGCCTGCCGTCGGACGACAACAATGACCACTCGACGCCGCCAACGTGACAGCATTTATCGATTTTCGGCACCCTTACTGAAGCGCTAGGTGGAGTCAAGGAAAAGTTCCAGCTTGGCAGACCCATTGGGTCGGACCTACGGCCTTCACATGAGCATGCTGGGCTTTGTCTACCTGGTTCTTATCCTGGGCTGGATTCTAATCGTGCTGTTTCTTAAGTGCAAAAAGTCCTTGGCGGCTCCCTTTCGCTTTGGCGAAAACTACACCGACGCCATCGCCGATACGGGTACGGTGCAACTTTTTCTAGATGGTTAGATGAAATCGCTACTAGGGAAAAAACACCAGAATTTAATTTCTGCCATTATAATTTCTCACATTATCAGTATACAAATAATATTAATCATATCAGAAGCTAGATATTTATTTGACAGCCATTAGACATGTGGCTCGATATAAACCAAAATAATTGCGATTTCTACTTAGTTTTGTTATCTGCTAGCTAAATCTGATTGGTATGTTGATTCAATTTGTATATAACAACCCCTTAGATCGCCGTCCCTCCGTGCATGTAATCCAGCTGCAACACGATGATGTGGAGCGCGAAGATCATTATATGAACAACTTTCACCAAAACACAGAGAATCTGCAGCGATACTCGCATCGTTCGCAACGCTCCACTTTGGAGGAGCGGACAATCGAGAGAACCTATCCAACGGATGCGGTGATAAATCCTGCTTATATGCACGATGAGGATTACGTGATCAACGGTGAGTTCAGCTCCCCTTCTATGTAATTTCATTTAGTAATGTGTTGTATTTAAAGCCCCTCCACCATCCTACGAAGAGGTGATGCGCCAGCCGCAGGTATATCCTCAGGTGCGCCACAACAACCACAAGATCAGCGATGCCGACATCTAGCCTTAATATTCGGTTTATCAAATTGTATATATATGCGTACTTTGTCTTGGTAAGCTGTGATTTACATAATTTGGTTGGTTCTTTATTTCACTTGCACCTAAAAAACATAATCAATTCGATTGATTCAACTTAGGTGGCCTGCGCCTCTTGCACTGCGAATAATAGTAGTTTTACATAAAAAAATGTACAAAATGTATGATTAATAGTTATGATTACGATTAATGATTACAAACAAACAGTCAGTCCACGTGTGCAGTTGTTACAGATTGTAATTGTAAATAAATTAAGAGTGAAAAATACTAAATAAAATGTGTAAAAAAATAAAACGTTTCCCTTTGCATTCTTTTGGCTAAATTAAGTCGCTAAATTCGATTTATCTCGTACATAAATGTGTTCCAACGTGGCTCAGTGTATTCACAGTTCTAATTACTTCAGTTGCGGCTTATGCCTTTGGCAATCTACGGGAGCACCTTGTGCACGCTGTGCATTTGGATGAAGGCCTCCAGTTGCGTGGGTATCAGACCCTTGAAGTTCAGCCGGTTGGTGGCGATTGTTCGGGCAGCTAGACACTTCAGGCTGGTGTGTGCATTCTGATGGCCATGCAGCCGATTGGCCAAGACAGCTGCAACATGAAAATATATTAATAAGGTCAAGTGAAATCGAACATATTAACTTACGCTGCTTGCAGGCTGTGGCCGCTGTCTGTCCAGCCGCATTCACCGCGTCCAAATGGGCGCCCGCCTCCACGAACAGCTGCAGAATACGCGCCATCTCCGCCTGACGATCCTGAGCGGTGTTAACTTTGGTTACCAATATGTGAAGTGGAGTGTTCCGAGCCGTATCTACGGCTTCGACAGAAGCGCCACAGTGCACCAGAACCAGAGCAGTGGCATAGCAGGGAAACCTGCAGTGGGACCAAAGGGATTAGTTAAATATTTAACCCCTATAAGATAGACTCCGACCTGCACATTTCATTTGTGTAGAACTCATCCACCGGCATCACTCCATTAACGGCGATGTGCAACAATGTCTGCCCATCCTGCAGGCGAGTGTCGTTCTGTATGAATTTGCGAACCACTAGGAATAGCTCCTGGATGTGCTCCTCGTTGATGTCCTGGTCCTTCTTGCGTCGCGCCAGGTGGGTAACGATCTTGATCAGATAAAGCGCCGTAATGCAGTTCTGATTGTTCTGGTCCTGCCACATACTAGGGCAAGTATTGGGCTTGGCTTCCTTTATTTTAAACTTGTTTTTTTCGATCTCCTGCTGGCACTTTGCCAAGACAGGAAGAACGTGATCTAATGTAAGGTTGTGGTTCTCTACCCGAAGAATCTGAGCGAAGAGCTGGGCAAAACGTAAGAGATCGCGATCCACAGAAACCTGGCGAAGGTTAAACAAAGATTAATCATTTACTCCATTAACATAAGATATCAAGGTCGAACTCACATTATTGCGCATTCGTAGATCTATGGCGTAGTTCCAAAGCACCTGGCACTGGTAGAATCGGCCCTGATCAGCCATCACAGCCCCTCGATAGATGATTGCCTGAGGCAACTCCGGATTATTGCGGCCCAGTATGCGTTCCCTAATGGCCAGCGACTCCATGTGGATGGAGTGATGGTTCAGTTTGATGGCATACAATTCGGGCAGATTTTCAGTCTCAAACCAATTGTCGTAGGCGGGCACTGTGGGCTGAACTTTCTTGCGAACCACACCACGAGGATTGATGTATCGCAGCTCCATGGCTCTCAGCAGATAGCTGTACGCCTTATTTATATCGTACTTGGTTTTATCGTTTGCATAGGTGGCTCCGAGGAGTTCCAAGGCTGTGATCTGCTCCTCTAAGCTCATCAGTTCCGGTCGCTGGATGAACGCCTCGAGAACATCCTCGTGGAGACGTTCGGCAGCCTGTAAGGCTGGTGTGATGCCCAGCTCATTCTTTTTAAGAGTTGCTCCATGATCCAGCAGGGCCACCACCACATCCAGATGGCCGCTCTCCGCCGCATAGTGCAAGGCAGTGGCTCCACACAAGGCCTGATCATTAGCCCTCGATCCGTTCTGAAGTAAAGTGTGCACCACTAAGTGGTGACCCTTGTAGGCGGCAATCATAAGCGTATTGTTGTTAAACAAATTCGTGGCATTTACGTCTGCTCCATTATCAATAAGGAATTCAACGATGTCCAATCGACCTGGGGGATTTATAATTGGTAAAATTTTTTAATATATAGGGGTGAATCGTAATATCGTTTTGGAAACGAACCCATTTATTTCCACTTTTACTTAAATTGAATCCCACAAAGTTGTTTGCAAACAAATTACTTCAAAGCTATAATCTACGATCATTGCTCAATTAATTTTTTCTTGTCTCGATTTTTAAACTTATTATTTGGTATACTACTTTTTTTAAATTTAAGACAATAATACAGTCAGCTTTAAAAATTCTTTACCCAATACCTCCATTGTGACATTTTGGCGACAAAAGCGATTGATTCTTACCCTCATAGCAGGCAGCTCTCAGCGGCGACGACTGCGCCTTGGTATTGTGATTGATATCCGCCCCCGCCTGGACGAGCATCTTGACAATCTGCAGGTGCCCCATTCCGGCAGCCACCCAGAGGGCGGTGGCTCCGTAGACCACCATTCCGTCGAAGATGACATTGCACTCCCGCTCCAAGTCCACGTCGTAGTGTGATAGCAGGGTCTTGACGAATTTCACATTGCCCGACATAGCGGCCATTGTGAGCGGGGTCAGCGATTGTCCATCTGGCTGATCGAAATTCTGGGGGGAATAGAGAAAACACAGAACGTTAGAGGTGCCTATGAAAACTTATGATGTGCGTGCGCAGCCGTTTCACAGTCAAGGTTGGACGAAAATAGTGCGTCGCAAGTGATAAATGTAAGGTATAAGTCTGTGAGAAAACGTGAATGCTTTCTTTGTTCGCTTTACATGGGCGAAAATCGAGCAAAACAGCATCCAGGCCAAAGTCTATAAACTTGGCTACTGCGTTGTGCCACGGAAATAGCTGCATCTGGGTCAAGAAACTGCTGGCCAGGGACACCCCACGCACACTCACTCACCGCCGGATAGGTGATGTAGTTGGTCACGGGCAGCGTGTCGTTTGCTCCTCGCCAGAATCCGGCTCCTGGCCAGGCGGACTCATACCAGCGCTTGCGAGTGCTGCAATTAGTTGGGGAAAAGCGGTTTGGTTTCAAAGTTCCTTATGCTGGAGCTGAGAAAAATCTATCTATTACCGATACAGCTCCGCGTGCATGGCCTGGAATCTGAATTTGAACTGACAGCTGCCTGGAGAGTGGAGGTCCTAAGGGCGAGGCGAGCACCGAAAAACTCGATAAAACTTCGCCGGGCTCACGATTCCTATCCATTCCCAACCCTAAGTTTGCATAAGCAGCCTTTTTTGGGGGTTGAATCGAAGCGAATCGCATCGAGAGGGAGCAATAGATCCTGCGCAGGGCCGAACAGCTGTTCGCGGAGAGAGGTCCTTGAGGGTTTGTTTACCACCCGCAGCTGTTCGCCTGCATTCCTTTAAGCCATCGACGCTCAGAGAGAGAGAGTGAGACAAATATAGGGGGGGTGGAAGCAAGAGTCAACCACACTTCCACACAGAAAACAAATATTGATATCTCAGGACATCAGAACTACAATTCAAATTTTGAAAATTTAAATGTATAAAGGAAAGGATACTGGGGAAGATACTGTCATTGATTGATTTTTTCTCTGCTTCTAAGTGTTGAAGTGTTTTTAATTGTTGTCTAGACCTATTGAATGTTAAAACACGCAGGTAGTATCAGAAAAATAGCTCAAGTGAATTTTAAAATTCTTAAACTTTGCAATTCATTTTGATTATTAATCTTTAGCCGATATGCTACATCATTAAATATGTAATAGTCAGTTGCATTATTTATAAGACCTATGTATGTATGGCCCACCAAGTTCGATTAGATTACGACGCGACAACAAAAGGTGTCGTAAATATTTGGTTAATAAACAAATTAATAAACGCACATTTCACATTTAGGATTTCAGGAAACTGCAAAGCATTTGATCTGGCATCAGGCCAATTCCGTGTCCAGATAGCCACGCCACCTCTGAGTAATTGGTTAAAGATGGCCCGAGTGTCATCTACTTGATATCCAATTGATTGTGGCAGTGACTTTCGGGGCCTTAAATAGGGTTTTATCTACATATACTGTTCAGTCATTAATTTCGAAAATTTTCGGCAATTACTGCGGTTTGCTTGCGATTTTTCTTGCCTTTTTGGCAGGCAGTAAAGTTATAAACACACCACAACTACATGTACAGTGGAATCTCGTTATCCAAAATGGTATTAAAAAATAATTACAATTTTCAAAATAAACGGTTTTATTAATTTATATTCGATTCCGTTTTTTTTTATTAAACTAAATATTTACAATTTTTAAAATAAACGGTTTTATTGATTTTAAACTATATACGGTTTATTGATTTTTTTAGTAAGCAAGAGACTTATGTCTTACAAATAACATTTCTTTTTGTAAACATTTGCTAAATTATCTTTGTCGTGCTGAGCTCAGATTATTACCCTCTATTGAACTTATTAAAAAATTCTCACGAAATCTAGTGAAAATATATGTTATCATATCCGACTTATGAAAGAAAGAATAACATGTATTATTATTGGGTATCAAATTACTTATAATATTTAGATTTTAATTAATTTTAATAAAATTCCTGGTTAGTGGGGGTTCCCCGTACAATGAGTAGAGCATGTGGCCCCTCCCCCTCTCTCTATCCATCACTCTCGTTCTCTCTTATAAACAATGACAACACAAGTAAATACCAAAAGCAGAAAACCAGCAGTGGAGCGTTTAAAAGCGCTCTATGCGGCAGCAGACTTTGTTTTTACATATAAACCGAATAATACGTATACGTGCGGCGGCGATTTTCATTAATGACGCAGTAGTAAATTCAGGCAATTACGCAAAAAGGCATTCCATCAACGGCCTGTACGCTCTGTCGAGTACTCACTGTATTAACCAGGTGTGTTTGCACCGCCCTGCAGCTAACGGTGTTCAGAATCTCGACGAAACTTAACATCTGGCCATTGCGAGCTGCCAAGTAAAGGTTGTTCAGCTGGCAGAACCGCAGACGCGGTTCCTGCGGAAACAAAGCACGGATCTCCTCGGAGATCTCCACTAACATCCCGTGGGCCATGTTAAAGTATCCGAAATCGGGCGGGTAACCGTCGTATATGGAAGTGTGCGTCTCGTCGCGAGGCTCTTCATCCGGATCGACCTCCATTCTGGCCAAGATGTGTGAGATATTGCACTGATCACCAGGAATGGAAGCCATCCACGGGCCGCCGCACGATATCACCCCTTTCCAGGCGAGTACGGCCACACTTAGTGATGAACAGGTAAAAGTGTAGGCAGTGACTAAGCGATAGTCGAACCTTATACATAAAATTCGTTAATTCAAAATTTTATATTTGATATTTATATTGCAAATTCAAAACCGGCAAGATGTGCCGATAACTTGGAATGAACTAGATGGACATTCAAAACTGTGACAAGGCAGTAACCGCACCCGTTTCGTTAATAATTGCCTTTTGATTTGCCAGTCACATTTTGTCACGTAGATTGGAACCACCTGATAATTTAAAAAAAGATATCCGCACCTTATACATACTAATCGTTTATTCACGCCTTTATATACATAAACATCACATTTGCTTTTGGATTTAAAAAAAATGCAATCATGAAACATTTATGAAATACAGCTTGAAATACTAATGTGTTGACATGTACTGGAAATTCAGCTTATAGTTTCTTCTTCATCCATTATTCTGTTTTCTTTTTTTTAAAGTGTGCGAAATAAGTGTCGTTGATCGCGCGCTTTTTACTTGTGTTTTTACGTTGCGTGGCATGCGTGCGTGTGAAGTTTTACTGTATTATTCTTTATGTTCAGTGTGTTTAAGCTTCAAAGTGAAAGTTTTCAACATTGGACCAGGCCTGGCTCTGTCTTGACTTATAATATTTATAGGGTTCCGAGTGTAGTTCGAGAGGCCGGTCCAATGTAAAATTTTCATCGACGTGTTTCTTTGGCCCATATTTTTCCAATCGCCCATCCTGGTACGACATCGTGCATCAACTCGCCTGGAAAACTATGCCTAAACGCTGTAGCGATTATCATTTTTGTACAATCATATTATGGTCATTATGGTCATATAATTTCTTTTCATCTCCAACATAAATTCATAATCGTACGATCAGTTCTTAAAATATGCTTGCATGTTGCTCCAAAGTGTCGATCTCTGGTCTCGTGTGTTTACAGTGGGCGCAGCATCCTCATATGCTGCACATGATTGTTCTCAACGTCTCGATTAACAGTTCACTCGTTTTTAATAAGTCAATTGAAGCTGTGTCATCACTATTACACAGTCACTGTTTACGTCACGGTTTACTCACAGTGTCCATTCATCGACGTGCTCGTGAGCGTGCGTGTGGTAGTGTGCACTGGAAATTTAGCTTCCACTGAAATTTTGATATTGTTTCTAATCTGTGCCAGTTCTTCAAAAAGGAAAAAAGTTCGCAACTTTCTTATGATAAGTTGTGCATATTATTTTTATATCCGCCCAAGTCATTTCTGGTCATCTCTTATTTGCTAGTGTGTTATGCTCATCCAAAGTTTTGATTTTACTGAAAACACAATTTTAAATTACGATTCGTTGATTTTTCTAAGCAACTTGCCAATAGCACTAATGTAAAAACAAATAAGCTTTAAGTAATTTTTAATTAAAAAAAAAAAACTTTCATAAGTATCTAATATAATTTAAAATAACAAAGATATGAAAAGTTATTTCATATTTCCATTTTGAAAAGTGTAAAGTTAAATATCCAAGTTCTTTTCGAAAGTTATGCGATGTTTAATCGTCAATGGTAAATTTCCATACTAAATTGACCTTTCTTAGTTTAAGCATTTAACGATTTTCAAAGCGAGTATAAGGTTATAATTAAAGCTCTACTAAACTTTAAAAAGAAGTTTGCAAGTTTAATTTTTTTTTTGCAAGCAAAAAATTTGATTGGCATTCGATTTTCCATATCGATGGTATATAAAAAATTCAATAAACATACAAGCGAAAGCAATCCATAAAATTAATCAACAATCTACACGAGAGATGAACACTCGTCTACTATTTTATCTAAAAAGCAAATAGCCAAGGCTTCTTTAAAAGGTATTTACTTTACAGATCCACCATTATTAGTTAGAGGCCGCAATGGCCACTGGGGATGGTGAGGCCACAACGGTGGATACGGCAGCTGGTGCCGTATTGTTGAGCTCAGCTTTGTCTGAAGAGGCGGAGGAGTCCGCTACCTTCAGGCCGCTGTTGGTGCCACCCAAACTATGACGAGAGTTGCGTTTGCGCTGTGGACGAGATGGCGTCTTGTTGGGCGACGGCGTCTTGGTGGTGGAGTCCGGGACCGAAGACACGCTCTGCGACTTGTCGCCTCCAGCACCAAACTCGGCACTGTCGGATCGCGAGCTTACTGCTCCTCCGTTCTTGGTTGGCTGACCGGTGCTGCGGCGATTGCGACGACGGTTGTTGGTCGACTTGACCACCGGCTTGATCGTAGTCTTGTTGGGGTCGAAGAAGCTGTCCAGGAGCTCCAGTAACTCTGCTTTGTCCTCGCTCTTAATCGTCCCAATCGACTGCAAGGCCATGTCCAGCCCCTCTATGCGCTTGTCCGCCCAAATGACACTCAGGGAGTTCAGATCGAACCCATTCTCGGCCAGCACAATGCGGAACTTGACGGCACGCACTCGATGATACAACGTGGTCTTGAAGTAGTTGAGGAACACCGGGCGGAACGAGTTCTGGCGCTCCAGGTTCTCGTTCTGGGTATCCAGCTCCTGGATATCGGATCCCACCAGCTTGGCAAATGGCTTTAGTGCGGTAAACATGTTCTCCAACGCTTCCGAAGATTCCGGCTCCGGTTTGCGGTCACAGTTGCTCAGCTGAAGGGCCACATTAAATGCCAGTTTGGCGCGCACACTAGCGTTTCCGTCGAACTGGTCCCGCTCAACCTGGAGGCCGTTTTTGGGGGAACGCTTCTCATTTATGCTGCCGTTACTATCAATCATGGTGCTGTCGCTGGCGGATGTCGATCCAGATACCGAGCCCGATCCAGATGTAGATGCAGATACAGAGCCAGTGGCGGCATCTTCTTTGTTCTTGGACAGGATCTTGGAGAGCTTGCGCAGACTGTAGTGCTTGATGTTGGCGTCGCCAATGGAGGCTTTGGCCAAATTGAGGCTGTTGGCAAAGGACTTCACCGTCTTGGTAAAGCGATCCAGTAGGCCATACTTCTTCAGCGACTCCAAGATCATGTATGGAATGAACTTGCGCTCCTCGTGATAGAGCAGCAAAATCCCGTCCGAACCGGAGCCCGCCTTGGCCTTCAGCTGCTCAAGCCAGTTGAGGAAGTCCTTTAGGGCAGCGATTTCCGACTTGGATTTAATGATCTACGAGAATATAAGTTAATATTCTATTAAAAAATAAATATTTATTTTTATGTCGTGCCATCTTTGTTTGGAACAGTGCATTTGTTTTTAAATATAAAGGTCATTAAATAATCCATTATAAAATCACAGAAAATGTAAAATTTTGTTGAATTGCACTAAAAATTATTAATATTTAATAGACTTACCTTGTAGGTCTGCATCGACTTCAGCATACGATAAAAACCAATCGAAATAACACGAACTTGATGGCGCTGACGCGCAGCTGGATTCAGATTCATATAGGGCATGATGTACTGCTCGAAGTGATCGGTGGGTGTGTAGGCGGCCAGCTGGACAATCTGGGTTCATATCGAAAGTGGGGTTAGGTCCGAATGAGAATCCTTTAAGTATCAAAGCACATACCTCATCGATTAGACGACGTCCAGTGGTGTCTATGTCAACGCCCACCAGAATGTAATTGCCTGCCGGTAGTTCGTCCTTTGGGATCACAGGCGACGAGGACTGGTCGGCAGCGGCAATGGCCACTCCAGTATCGACGTTATCGGCAACCATTTTTCTATATGATCTGGGAGAAATACACGTACAAAATTAGCTCACTTAAATAATTTTAATTTTTGTGTGTAAAAAGGAACTTGTAAAACGCGAACCTCTTTTGTTGGGGTTTTATACGAAGTGACTTGCGCCGAAGACACAAGAGGTAGCTTAAAACGCAATATTGGAAAACTAACAGCTTCCTTCCAGCAGCGCCATATTTGTTTTGCACCACACACTTGCCAGCTCATTAATTCACCACAGCCACTTTGCAACTTTCTTTATGTTCTCACCTTTATTGAACTCCTTTTTCGTGTTGATTTCGACGGCTCTTTCGCTTTTTACGAACTTTTTCCTTTATTTTTCAAAAGGGTAAAGCGAGATTTGCTTCCGTTCGACGAGCTTTCACAAATAAGAAACAAATCGTACGACAAACTAAAACGAAATGAATTATTTTTTAAGGCACCGCCCGGTCTTAAAAATTTAATGAATTCGTTCAAACGCACAGCCTGCTAAATGAGGATTTTACACTTAAGTACGATGGGCCTAGTAGCTGCAATTCGTGGCAAGGTGCTACAATGCCCACTGTGCGGCTTTAAAAAAAATTTGTTTGTATTTTAATTTTTTTTTATTAGTAGACAACGTGATAAATGTTTGGCTTAATAATTTTTGCCAATAACTAGCCGGTGAAACTTTTTGGCCAAACACCAAACGATAAGTTAAAAGCATAAAGAGAATAGAAAAATTGATAAGAGAAACAGTATTGGCTAATTTCAAATTTTGGGAAAGCGCGCAGAGTTGCCACCCATAATTGTAGGGCTACCACACTGCCAGGAAAAGATGCCAGTTGTGACTGCGCAGCCCTGGTCCACACACAAACAAAAATCAGCTGCTGCGATTGGGTTTTCCTTTGATTTTACAGAAAAAAAGGAAAAACTAGGAAAACAAAGTGTCAGGTGAACAAATTATGCTGTACTGATTACGAGCGCACAAGCAAACACAACGATAAAGATAAAACCCGGCGAGATAACACAACCCAAAGGTGCCAAACATGCTGTCCTACATAAAGCGCAAGCTCTCGGAATCGGACGGCGGCGTCAATTCTGGCACAACCGTGACGTCGTCGTGCGGCGGGAATAGTGGAAGTGGGAGCGGTACGGGCGGTACAGGCGGAGCGAGCAGCGGTATCAGCACCAGCGGACGCAGCAACAACGCCGACGAGTTAGTGCGCAAAACGAGCCAGATGTCGATGGATGAGGAGGCGATTGCCTTCGGCGAGGATGCACTACTCCACGAACTGGGCTACAGGAATGCCACGGATCTGCAGGAGACCATCTACGGTTTGATTTTCCCTTGCAATTCTCCCTCAATTATGTAATTTTCACCTTGCCTTTCCGCAGATCTGCTGCGCAGCATTCGCGATCCCGAGAAACCGTGTACTTTGGAGGACCTGAATGTCATCTACGAGGATGGGATTTTCGTGATGCCACCTACGCGCTCTAATGTCTCAGTTGTACGTTATCCAATTCTTTTAAACAGTTATTAATATGGGAGAAACCAATTTTCATTTTTTTTATTCATTATATTTAAATTAGAAATACAGATACAAAATAAGTTTGAACTTAATATCAAAAAAGTTTAAGAGAAGTTAAAATGTACTCCTCTTAGGAAGTTAAAACGTTATTTATAATCTCTTAAACAGTGTTTATTACTTTAATGTTTGAAAATCTTTTTGTTTTTAATTTAACTTTCATGGAGTATAATATTCGGAAATAATTTTAGGTTGACCAATTTACAAAAAAGATATTAAAATAGTTAAAGTGGTTTTCACATAGGCTAAAATGCTATATAAGTTATAAAGGTATTATTTATTGAACATTTTAAATACATTTTAAGATATGTTTTAAATTTACAACATGGTTAAAAGTTGGTTTGTGTCTCTTGAGTACAACTTTCTTTAAAGAAATCAACATTAACAATTTTTCTAGCAGTCAACAATTTAAACAGAATTCTTATCGATTTCAATTTGCTTTTTATACAAATAAAAGGCCCTAAAATATTTCGTTGGTAATTATTTCAGGTACGCATTGAGTTTAATCCCACAGTGCCCCATTGCTCGCTGGCCACGCTTATTGGACTCTGTATACGCGTGAAAGTGGAACGTGGACTTCCGCACAATATAAAACTAGACATATACATCAAGAAGGGAGCCCACCAAACGGAGGAAGAAAGTGAGTTTGGCTTGACAAACAGTTTCAACAGATTTATTGTATTTAAAATATGTGTTTGTTTCCCCAGTTAATAAGCAAATCAATGACAAGGAGCGCATCGCTGCAGCCATGGAAAACCCCAATTTGCGAGAACTGGTCGAGAACTGTATCAAGGATGAGGAGTAGCTCTCTTCGCTCTGGTTTTGTGTATATAGGGGACTTTTTAAGGAATGTCTAGGGTTAAGTATACTATTAAGTTGCATCATGGACTGTGTGCTTAGCATTAAAGCCCTTAAAATCTGTTAATCGCTGAGTTGGGCCGGCGTGATTTCACCTGAATATCGATTGCTTAACGTCCTATCTATTTTCCTCGTTTGTTTACTGATAAGGTCCGGGCTCAACAACGCGCATTGTTTACATTCTGCCCAAACGATATCTCGTTGGACGTTCGTCGAAGAAAACCGTGTGCACAGTACTGTCATGGCGGGTGAATGAATCCAAATCAAATCGGATCGGAGGGCCGGCCATGTTTGCGACCATACCGCGCACGGATTTATCAGCTCTAGAAGAATCCAAATGTTTTGGGGCGGGGGAGGGCACTCACCTGCCGTTTCCGCTGTTAAGTTGAGTGCATGACACACATTCGACTCGGCTAATTTCTTTGCAACTCTCCGGTTTCAGTGAGCACTTTGTTGCCATGACTGCCTCTGTTTCTGCTCCAATTTGCATTTCCGGAGTTTTCCATTTGTTAAATTGCACTGCATTTCCACTCACCCCCCCATAAATATTAAGCAATATCAATTAGTTGCTTTCCTTCGCGTTCAAGTGCTTTAAATTAATTTCCAAAGACCTACGCAAAAAACATCCCGCCGAGCAATTAAAACCATCTGGCTCTGGAAACTTTTTGCCATGACACTGCCGGCCAATATGCACGGGATGGGAATTGGGAGCAATACTCTTCATGTCCGTCCCCTAGGCGTGCTACTGTCTCAAAGAACGAAGGAAAAATAATAAAAATGAATACGCAGACAAAAGCATATTGCGAATATTACGCTAATTGGTGACTGCAATCAAAGCGGACCACGGCCTGGACACGTTGGCCCGAGAAATAGGCGAAGCAACGGTGGGGGAGATGGCACTTTCAGCCCCTTTGAGCAGCCGTGACTCCAGCCTGACCCTGACCAGCCAACGATGTTCTATCCCCTGGTCAATTGTGGTGATTTCAGGTGAGCAGTAATTGGAAACAGTCTGTGCAGTACTTTTTACTTAAGGTGTATGGCTATTTCTGAATTTTGGTATATTTTATTTTACATCATCCAGTACTAAATCTGGTCACAATTGGAATAGGTAAGTTTTTGGTAAGTTTTATCAATTTTTAAAATGATTTTTGGCTAATATCAAGAAAAACCAAAATTGATAATAACTTCCCAGATGCTTTACATCAGCATCTACATTTTCTTGTACTGTTTTAAGCATAAAATAAATCCAAAGACGGTTGATTGTTGATTTGAATGTGACAATTATAATTGAAAATTATAATTTTTCTTAATCCTTAACATCTTAATTTCCGTTATTTTTGGTTCAGCAAAAAAAAAATTCCAAGGACCATCGAGCCTTCACCTTACCCCTCTCCTTCTTTGGCACCTCGGCCAGGCAATAAAAATGTACATCCTTTCATATCATTGCACACTTGCAAGTGAGATATTGAAATTCTCTAGACTGTTACCTGGACTTTTACCTAGGACGCCAGTTGGCCAGGTTGCCGCGGTGACACTTTAATAACCACGTTGTAGATGGATCCAGGCAGAAACCGACTCAATCTTGGGTCTGCTCCGCGATGACTCAGTTGATGACTCCGGCCATTTCGCAGGAAGGACTCGTGGGGAACCCGACTGCGACAGAATTTTATGTGCATAAAATTCATAATTTATTCTGTTAATGCATATGCATTTAAGCCGGGCCGACAACTGCAGCAATTCCCCAGGATTTGCTGACCGGCAATTGTCATTTGTGCAGCGGTCAAAGTGACCCATTTAACCGGTCTGCAGTGCCACGGTACCACGCCCCTTCCTCGGCCACCGCCCTTGGGTAGAGTACATAAGTAGGCAAATGCAATGAGTCTGGGTCCAAGTCACAGCCGCCCGAAGACGAGAGGCACAGATTGCGGCCACCGAGATTTCCTTCCGATATGCAATGCTGTTAAATTGTGTGCCATTATTATGATTGCCGTCGTACGGCGGGGATCCGGACGGAGTGCACAGGATGCCGGAGCCACGACCGGCTGTGGAGTTGCATTCACACATTGTTCGGCTGATCCGGGTCTCCGCATATGCCATGTATTTCATTATGGGTCCCCATCACCATACCCCTTGGCTTCTTGCGTTGTGCGAATCCAAATGCGAGGAAATGCTCTGTTTTTGCGGGTCTGTCTATTAGTCCGAAGGATGGTTGCATTTCGAAATCTTGATGAAAAACTATAGATTCAAATAATAATAAAAATTGCTGCAAACCAATGATTTTCTACAATAAAAAAAGAATTTTATAACCTTACAAAAGTGAGGAACAGGAAGATACTATATAGTATAACTGCTAGGAAAAGGATACTGGTATTACAGCTCCCGCTAAATTCTGTAGCAGCAATAGTTTAAAATATACGGATTTCTATTCTTGTTTTTCCTAACTGAACAGCGTTTTTATTAAAAGAGATATTTAATTTTCCTTGAATATGGACAATATTTTAATTTGTTGGCAACTATTTTAAAACTGCAGAAGAGAGCACATTTCTATGGTAACTATGAGGGGAAAATATGTCGAACTGGTTTAAGCAATTAAAAAATAAATTGTAACTATTGGATTTCAAAAATTGTATTTAAATGATAACTCTTCTTAAGTCTGTAATTTTTGTATTTTAATCCCGTAAAATTCCGTGAGTAATCCAAGGTCGTTTCCCGAAGTTCACAGTAATCTGAGCTCTTATTTTTTCAGGTGGCTGGCAGCTCGCGTTGTTACAACCAATTGTTGTAATTGTTCTAGCCACAGCGGTTGGGGCGCAGCTCCTTAAAACCGGAAGTAACACTCAATGGCGTAAAGCTGCCTACGGGCCCACCCGGCGTATGCGGATTATGCAAAGTTCTGGTCAGTGGTAAGAGCCACGCCAGAGCCAGAGTCAGAGTCAGCCGCATATGCCTCAAACGGGGTGGGAGGTTGGAGGTAATTTGGGATGAGGTTCGGGATGACCAACAAGCGGACTTGGCCATTCAGCAACTGACAACTTACGCATCAGCAGAGCCAGCGATGAGGAGGAGGCGGGGTTAGGGGGATCGGGGTCTGGTGACCGGGGACGGGTCCAAAGTGCAGCGGACCGAGCTCTGTCTGAGCCGGAGAAAGAGGTGGGGAAAGGCTTTTGTTGTTTGCACTGCCATTAATTTCTGCTGCACTCGGCTCGCCATTTATTTTGTCCGTAAAATGTGCCAACCTTATGAGTTGCCTGGAAAGCCATTCTGTCTCTTTGCTGCCTCTTGGCTAAGGATTACTTAACCCTTTGGTTTTTAATGCTGCCTTTGGGCTACATTTCATTAAAAAGCGATGTGATTGGTTAAAATAGCATACAACAAAATGTTCCTGTCGAATACTTCATTTTATAATTATCAGAACGTAAAATTATTTAACAAGTAATATTATTTTGTATTTCACAAAATTTCCGGAATATTTTAAACTTATTTATACCTATAAAAATTATAAATATGTTGCTTATCCTATTATGTATTATCTTATGAATACTCTTTACGATGCACGAGTGACAATCCTTGTTTGGTGTGCTAGAAGAAAAAAAGAACAAACTTTGTCAGAATCCAAGTATCTATAGAAATATAAAATAAATACAAGTTTAATTAATATAAATAATTTAAAAAATGACCAATTTATTTTTAGTATGGTAGGTTCAAATATTGAAATGGTATAAAATTGGCTTGGCCAAAATAATTTGCAAAACAATTTATCTACAAAAATAAACAAAATTTATAAAATATAATAAATTTTTTTTAAAACTTTTATATAAAAATAATTAATGGTAAAATTGTAAATTTAAGATTTGGGAAATGAATTCAAACTTATTTAAGTTCCTAAACATATTAAAACATGCTCCCATTTTGGGGACCAGGCATGAGTGGGTTAATGGACGAGGGGCGGAATGGCTACCGAGGATGAAGCGCCTGCCAAGCGGAAGTGGTCGCGTGCGTTGCATCCTGTCGGCAATTATGCCGCAGCAGCAACAACAATTACAGTTACAGCTGTTACCGTCCCCCGAATCCCGAATCCCGCTCCTTGCTTCCCGCTTGCCGGTTGCATTCACGATTTACCCCTTGTTCGTCCGCTTGTAAGCCATTTTAATTGCTTGTCTCTTTTTAATTTTCAGCTCTTTTGTTATACTTCACCCTTTGGCCGCGCATCCCACCTGGCATATATCCCCATACCCTCTATCTCTCTCTATATATATATATATATCTAGAGCCTTTGTCTGAGTCCTTTCTTCGCCTCAAGTTGACATTTTTGCTGGCCGTGCTGTGACTTCTGGCCAAGAGGTCGCCGCTCCTTGGGCCCGAGGGCTTTTGACTGTTGACCATTTGCCGGAGCTAACGAACTAATGTTGAATGCACGGCAAGTGCCATTTGAGCTTCCGCCAGCTCATTGGCTAGAAGAAGCCTGCAACAGCAATTAACAAAGGTGCAGGACCTCGTTTCGTTTGCCCCCTCCTCTCCTTCGAACGGACAATTGTCCTGGATCCGGAATCGGAATGGTGTCCGATGGCAGCTTAAACGTGTGTAATCAGAGCATAATTGTCTAAAATAGCTCGGCACTTGCTGCCCTGAAATGGGAGCGTTTGTTTTCCTGCTCAATCACATCGAAAATCGATTAAGTTGTCGGGCGTAATATAGCTAGAATTGTCGATTTATACTTAAAGGGACTGGAAATTAAGAAAGTTATAGACAAATTAGCAGAAATAGACGACATTTTCAGCCATTGAATTTCTTTAATGCAAAAAATATTGTTGCTTTATCCGATTGTCGTTTTGTATATAATTTTTTGGACCTAACTAGTTATTATTAAATTTTCTTCAGTAATAAATTAGCCGCAATTTTATATTTAAAATTTCCAAAAGGGTATCTGCCACAATTCGAAAAGCGGAAATAATTGCCAAAAAAACATTTGTGCGTTTTAAATACATAAACTTAAACACTGGTACTTTCATTAGATACATAAATTATTATTAATTGATAAAATAGCTCGGCACTTGCTGCCCTGAAATGGGAGCGTTTGTTTTCCTGCTCAATCACATCGAAAATCGATTAAGTTGTCGGGCGTAAT